GTTGTGCTTATGTATGCAGAAGGTATATTTGCCAGAATGCACCAGAGCTGCTGTCAGAAGTAAGGGAGGTGTGTGCGTGCGTGTGTGCGTGCGTGTGTGTGTGTGTGTGTGCGTGTGTGTGTGTGTGTGTGTGTGTGATATGCAGGGGGTTTAGATGGGTTAAAAAAAAAATCAATCGCCAGGAGACCCACTTCCTATCCCCGTTGCTGCGGCAATGCCGAGATTCCATCAATGAGCAGCGGTTGCGTTTCCTAGGCAACGCTTGTGAATGAGAGCAGATCGGTAACCGTGGAGACTCTGCAAAAAGAGAGGAATCGCCGGTTGCCATGGCAATGCTGTGAACAAGGAGAGACCGGCCAAAGTGAAGGGAGCATGTGACCTCTGATCTTCATCAGGGCTCTGCATCGTCATCGTCAGGCGTGGCTCTTCATCAGGACGGATCAGAACTGAATAAGAAGCAGCACAAAGGCCTCACTGTGTCATTAACGCAATCATTTCTATATGCACCTCCCATCGGCTGCATTGACTGGCCTTACTGCCCGGAGCTCCACCTGATCCTAACTTATCAAAATCAAATCAGTCATGATGCCAAAATGTCAAACTTTATGTCCATATGAAGGAAAGTCTTCACTTTAACGGCCTTGTTGCTGAAAATGTGATGTATGAATAAAATGACCTCACCTTCACTCGTGCAGACATTTGAGCTTTACTGACCTTTTTACGTCAAACAACAGTGTCGTAGCATTAGCTTGTAGCTTTAGCACAGCTAGCATGTGGCGACCACCAGCGTTAACTTTTTCCCTGTCCGTCTGTCTCATAGGGGAAATGCTTCTGTGTTAGCATTACTGGCTAAAGAGGGTCGTGTGTGTATTTTTAAATGTTTTTTTTTCCCTGGCTGTGCTCACCCAGCGTCTCCTACAGCAGTCTGACGACTTGGGCAAATGTTAGTTTTTCAGTTTGTGTCGATTTTGAGGTAAATGAGGGTCTGAGGATGAATTCTTTTTCTAGTATCAGTTATGTCGAGATATTGATTATTTTGATAACGTGGTGGGGACAGCAGACATCTCTGCAGGTTCTTCAGAGGCAAGTTGTTAATTCAACGATGGTGTGTTGAGGGCAAATAAGTCACAGACAAAACAAAACGTACAAATTAGCGTAGTGCACAATGGAAAACAAAGACTGGCCGTGTCGAAGTGTCTAAGTAGGGTACCTTTAGTTTCTGAGATGAAATGTTTGTTCAGTTTTCTTTCTGTGACATTTGAGAAATTCACAGTAGTGAGATTTTCAGCAGGATCATTTAATTTTAAGAAAAGCAAATTAGAGATCGTTAACTATCATGACATCTGTTTTGTATTTCACAGAAGCGTTGACTAACGTCTTATTTTGTTGGAAGTCCATCCATCCATCCATCCATTTTTTTTCAATGCCTGCTTAATCTTTAAAGGGTTGTCGTGGTGAGCACATTCATTTCCAAGGCCTACTTTATGGTTATTACAGTAACCGTGTATTAAAGATGATAAGATTTTAAATTTTATTAGTGTACAACACCTGGAAAAAATATTTTCACTACGTTATGTTAAAAAAAATACTGACTTAGTAAAAACATTTAATCAGTTTGAAGGTGATGGTTCATGGGGGGGTAGCCTTAGCTCGGTGCTAACCTGGATTTCCTCCAGTCAAAAAGTGTTGCCGATGAACCCGGTGGCCCCTGGTAAACTCCCGTTTTACACATGCGGAAAACTCCTGGATGGTCAACACACTGTTAGCAGCTGCAGCGCGGTTTCAGCAGGGCCTGTGCTGCTTTACAGGGTTAACAGTTTGGTGTTTCCCTGCAGCGTGAGCCTCTGTCATCACAATCCAAACACCTTTCCCCACTGCAGAGAAAACCCGGCCTTATTTCATCTCTGGAGTCTCTCTGTTTGCCTGCTTCAGCTTCTCTTAAGAGCCGCGTCGTCTCTCCTTCTCAGCAGTTGGATCTAACACTTTTGACACACAGGACTATCACTCCCTTTCAATCTGTTCACTCTTTTTCACGCTCTCCGTCTCTTAAGGGGATGCCGCCTTTCTTTCTTCACAATTGGTATTTCATTAAGGACTCTGGCGCAGTCTTAAAGGGACAGAGCTCCTCCGTGATATTTTGTGTTTATATCTTCCCTTTTATATATATAAAAAATAAAAGCATTCGGATGATTATATTTAAGCCCATTTTGAAGTACGCCTTTAAAAGAGAGAGAGAGATACATGCCAGCTACTGACAGGAGGAAACATTCAGCCATCTGTCTCCACAGCATGCTTAGTGTAGCTTAGGTCAGTGAGGAAAAAGCTTCAGATTTTAATAAAGTGGACAAAGTGAGGCCTTTCAAAATAAGAGTTTAAGGTGCTGTTTTGTTTTGTTATGTGTAAAACCAGTGTAATCGATGGACAGTGTTCACCAAATCGTCACAACAACATACCCAGTGGTTTTTTAAAATTTGATTTGCAATTGTATCTTGTGCTTTTAAGCAAGAGCTGATTGTTTTCATTTAATATGACAGTAATACATAGGGACGCTAAAAACTACAGGCCTTATTTCAGAAACCTTCCTCACACTGATGAACGTATTCTAAAACATGACTTTTGTAAGACTGCTGATTTTTGTCTTATTAGGATTTCGTTTTCTAACAGCAACATAAGAGGAAGATATATAACGGCATTCGAAATATTTATTCTCATCTCGCCGCCGTGATCAGCTATTTATTGTACGCGTTTTAGTTCGTTTTTGTTTGAAATCACGTTTGAAACAAGAACGCAACTCAAAGTCCTTCAAAAGGTGCGATAGAAATGATCATCATAGAAATATTAAATTAAAACACAGTAGAACTACAGTACAGAAAAGTGAAACCACTGTCAAATTGCTATTCAAATGATTTCCAGTGGATTCCTCAAGTCGATACATTTTTGTTCTATTCCTCTTATTGCTGTCCATCCATTGCCATTTTCATAAAGTTTGTTACGCTGAAGTAGGATTACGGAGTACTGCGACATGTACATATATTTTCTGTATGTTCTCTTGTCCAACATTTGTGTTGTCGCCGAACCAACACAGAAAACCTGCGGTTTGGTTTTCTGCTGCTTACATCTCGTATCGAAGAGTTTTTGTGTACAAGCTGTTGCTGTTGCACCTCCCAAAATCACCAGATCATTTTCTTATCTCGCAGCACAACCAGTTCATTCGTTACATCGCCACCGATGTAGAAATTCAGTAGTTGACATTGTACGTCTGTTTATGAGCGGAGTAGTTTGGATTAATGACGCTTCTCTGCCTGTTCAATCATTTCTCCTTCAAACTCCTGACAGCTTCAAGCAGAAAAGAGCAAAATAAATCAAAGAAATCATTATGGTGACACTTGCAGTCATAAGCCATCACACGTTGTTATCTCTGCTTTGTGTGCTTTCAACTATACCTAACATTACATTTTTCTTGCACGTCCTCTTTATGTATGTATTGTCCATTATTATCTGTGGAAGTTCTCTCTCCACGTTTCTCTTCCCGTTTTTGTCCCCGGCATACTCTCTGCTCCATCTACTGGCCACGGCCGTGCACTGCGGGCTGGTTCGGCTGTTGCTAGGGACAACTGCTTCTTGAAGAATTGAGTTTGTCTGGCGGCAGGTTGCTGCACACGTAGGCTTTGCATGGACCCTAATTAGAGAAGTACAGCATTTAAAAAAAAAAGAAAAGAAAAAAGCACTAAAATGTGAGTAAAAAGGAAGATTAAGTATTGGAAACTAATAACCGAACGAATGTGACGTCGCTTGATCCAAGTTGCCTTTGAATTTCCCCCTCAAGCGCACAGAAACACAGAAGCTGCTTCAGGAAACACGAATCGCCCTGGTGTCGTGTCAGAGCGATGCACTCTGGTCGTTTCGCTGAGGACTGGTCTGTTGAGGCTCGCAGCATGGCCTTTAACTGTGGCAGAGGAAACGAGTGGCTCGGCTGCCATGCAGTGTCTCTAAATAAATGACCTCTTATTGGAATGAGCAACCAACCTGAAAAGAGTCAGGGTGGAAATCACAGAGAAATGTAAAAAAATAATAATCATTTTTAAAAAAGGCATAAAAGACAGGAGATGAGAACATGCAATTAAGTCAGGTTTCTTTAAAATCCCAAAAATATAGATTATTTTGTGTGAAGATGTCTTCATTTTGAAAATGTGGCACTTATTTTATTCTTGAGTTCAAACTTGTATTTCATTTGCAGTCTTATTGTTTAAAATTGTAACACATTAAACAGCCTGCACTACAAAATACAATTTAATGGTCTTGTGTTAAATTATAGAAAATATTTACTTTGAAACTGTGTTTAATAATGCATGGAATGAGTTTAATAAAACTTCCTATAACAGGAAGTCTTTTACTCACTTCTTTATGAAATTCACATAAACCTCAATTTGTTTTATAAGGATTTAATGTGCATAGCAGTAAAGTGAGAAAGATAATTGCACATGTCGTTCAAAATGTTGTTGAAATAGAAATGTAGAAAGTTTTTCATAGGTTTTTAAGCTCTGCTCGGTAAGTCGATACTTCAATAAACATTTATTTTTAAAGCTTCATTTGTGTAATCTCTACACAAATGAAAAAAAGGCAAAAATGGAACAAAATAGATTTTAAATGAGTATGACCATCAAAACAATCTTCAAACTTTGTGTATGACCTCCAAACTGGATAAACAAAACTTGCTCCACTTAATGGCAAAAATGCCCAAGAGATCTCTTCACAGAATTATAATTCAAAGATCACGTTGTCCCGTTTCCAAAACCCTGAGTTTTCCTAAAAGATTGGAACAGGAGCAAATTGCAACGTTCAAGCAATTGAATTAAAACCAGTCGTCATGAAGACGAGGAATGTCGTCTACATGGCGACTAAAATCAAACTAAAAACTTTGATTTCAGTCGGTCGTACCCAGTGAACCAACAGAACCACTGACAAGGTACCGCCCTCATTTTTGTCTTGTGTTTGTGCAGAATTCTGTCGTCTGTGGGGTCTCAGCTGGACCTGAGGACGCTCCGAGCTGTCAGAGTGCTGCGGCCCCTGAAACTGGTGTCTGGAATTCCCAGTAAGTTGTGACTGATTTATTTTTATTTCTAATAGAAAAAAAAAATACCACATCCAAAAAAGGAAATTTCCATTTCCGTTCACCTGATTATGCATGAGCTGCCGACATTTAGCTTAACTATTACCTTTATATTAAATGGATTTAAGCAGTTTTATGACGTTCGTTTTCTTGGCTTAGCTTTCTCCCTGTTTCCAGTCAATACGTAGAGATTTTAGCACCGGATACGCTGGAGTATTGATAACATAGAATAATACGGCTTACGTCACTGCAAAGAGTCACCTATTTGAACTTCCTCTTGGTGTTTTTGTTCCAAACTTCTTCTGAGTATTTCCCACTGTCATCCAGGCCTGCAGGTGGTGCTCAAGTCCATCATGAAGGCCATGATCCCCCTGCTTCAGATCGGCTTGCTGCTGTTCGTGGCTATCCTTATGTTCGCCATCATCGGCTTGGAGTTCTACATGGGAAAATTCCACACAACCTGCGCTGATCCCGTTACGAGTGAGCGCAAAGTGAAAACGAGAAGTAACCGTGTCCATCATTGGTCCGTCCTCGCGCAGCCGTGCTGGACAGATGGCTAACAAAAACAAAACTTCAGGCGTTGATTGTGTTCTGAGCTTTTATGTAAAACTGAAAAAAAGAGCATAAAAATATATACATGAACATCGTAAATACATATTTGGTCCTAACATAAGCATATAAATAAAAGAAAGCTCATCAAATGACCGTGTTGTGGGTTTAAGCCGTTTCCGTACATGTCTGACACATAAAATTCCAATTAAATGCGTTGACGCTCAAGCTTGCATCATGAGAAAATGTGAAAAAGTTAGTGTTGTAGAAAAAAACTATTTCCAAGCACTGTTCAGGTAAAGTCACTCAGTCGGGTTTATTCACAAATTGTGCACCACTCAGAGAGATCATAAGACAATCAATAATCAAACCAGGCAGAGACTACGCCTTGGTTTTAAACAAAGATAAAGGATCCAAAGCATTGGAAATGGTCTGGTTCCCACACAACTGTGGGAAACAAACTTCCAACCTTGTACATGTAACCCAAATAGCATTATCATGGTGGGACCAGAGAAGAACTTTGAATAAACATATAACAATGCAACTAGCAGACGTGACCTTATTGTAATTTTTCCACCACATTTGGGATATAAATGTTTGTTTTTTTTTGTAGGAAATGTACAACATAGTACATTTTCACAGTGCATATAGTGCTGTGAAAAGCATTTTTGTCAGACTTAAATAATCCATATTGCCAAATAAATGTTAATATCAGCTCCTTCAGACTAGCCAGCAGCAATTAGCAAACGCTTGGTGTAACTGTTATCTGCTGAGCTCAACATAGGAGTTACTTCTCAGGGCAACGCTGGTAAAGACGTTATTAAAAGGTTAATAGAGGAGCCATGTTGCAATAACTTCCTGAAGGAAGAGTTTCAGAAAGAGCAGGAGCTTCTTAAAGAGACAGAGGCCCAATTTCAAGGCGTGGAGTTACAAAGTTACATTTCTTTTGCGTCACATTTGATATGTACACCATTTTTATAGCAATTGATGGTAATGTTGGTCTTTTGTCCCTCTCTACCCAGAGGAGAAAGTGGAAGATCGCCCATGTGGTCCCAAGCCACCCTCCAGATTGTGCCCCAACGACTCATCGTGTGAAAGTGGCTGGATCGGACCAAACTATGGCATCACTAAGTTTGACAACATCCTGTTCGCTATTCTGACAGTCTTCCAGTGCATCACTATGGAAGGATGGACAGACATGCTCTACTACGTATGTCTAAAAAAAGAAAAAACAAACACTGAGCTCAACTTTTCTTTAAACAAATAAATGCACTTAAGTTCTAAACAAGCCCTGAAGATTTCATTTCCAACCAGCCGCTCCGCTAATATTTGAACTACTTCTAAGATTCTGCAGCAATCACCTTCTTGTTACTGTTCTGGAAAATAAATAGGCCAACAATTTATTATGTCTTTCTAAAACTTAACAAATGTTATCAGATTTTTTTTTCTCAAATCTTTTAGCTTTGACCCAAATGCCAAAATATTTAATACATTCTCACCACTACATCTCCTGTGGTTTGATTAAAAATCTAAATGAAAAAAATAACAAAAATCAACGTAGTTTGGAAAATTGTCGAAACACTTAAGACATTTGCTTGTTTTAGACAATTCAGGCGTGCTATCTGTGCAGAATCCTGGAAAAAAGAAAAAAAGACTCAAAGAAAATTGGAAAAACAAAACAAATTTGACTCCTAAAGTGAGTTTTAGTTTCACATTTTTCCTGAAAAAGATCTTAACTGATCGTATCAGCATTTGGAGTGGCATCACAGCAATAGGCATTATTGAAATAGAATCTGCTGATTGTATTAATTTGGCGCACACTTGCGGATGCGTGAAAATAGGAGTTTGGTTTAAATTTCTTGTGTCTAAATGAAAAACAAAAATGTCAATTGAAATCGCGCTTAAAAACTTTATCCAAATGTATTTCCCCGTCTTTCCTCGTTTTAGTCAGTTTGACCTCTTCTCATCTGCCCTTTTCTTGCTTTTAGACACCATCCCTCCCATCCCCCCTTCCTCACTTCCCTTTATTCAGCTCCCTATTCTGGTCCGTCTATATTTAACATCTTTTCTGATGGATGAAGCCTGACTTCCACACTCACACATGCAGTCAGGAGGAAACCGATGAAAGTTTAATAGCCGTGTGGCAGCCCGCATTGTGCCATCTGGATAAAGATAAACCTGACACATGCACACAAACACAGGTGACAGATCCATGTTGGGAGTTTAATTTAAAAATAATTAATTAATTAATTTTAAAAAGATGAGTTTGTTTAGTGGTGGAGGTAAGCGTAAGTCATGTTTGCATCCACAATCAAATGAATGCGAGTGAAAAATGAGCTGCAACACAACACTGGAGAAAGGCTGTGATTTATTTTCCCTGAATAAAAAGAGAGCACCTGCTTTCAGGTTTGTTTGTACCTTTAAAATTAACGACATGCACGCAAAATCAACACATCTGGCATCTATTGTAAAATGTAATTTATGGCTTTTTTACGCTCTGCAAACTTTGTTATATTTCGGTTTCCCAAAGGGTTTTGATTGCAGTTCGGAGGGACTTGACTCTTGTCACATAAGACGGACAAAAAGTTCAGGAAACCTGTTGGTAAACATTGTGAAGTAAGGAAACGGTTTCAAACGCTGGACTGAAACGCCCCCTGGTGGGTAGAAAACTTGGTTCAAAACGTTTGTGGACAAACATCGCCTAAAAAAAGTTGAGAACAAAACGCCCAAAACGGAAAACATTGAAAATATTTGACGATTTATAAGAAGCCCATGAAATTTTCCACCTCTACTTTAGATCAGACCTGGGAAAAAATTCAACCCAAAGCAGACACGTTTTGTCCGAACCCAACTTCCCAAGTAAACGCAACATATGATTGTTAATAAGCTGCAAGTTTAATATGCTTAGTAGTGTCTTTTTCCTGTGTGTATCTTTTAACGTCTTCCAGAGCCAATTTGCCTCTTGTTGTAAGCGCAGGATGAGTAAAGGGAGAATCATCAGGGATGTGTGATTGATAGGAGGAGAGCAAAGTGTGGCCACATGCGTTTAAACCTCCTACTTCTCATGTCAAACCAAAGAAAGCCACTGGATCTTTTGTTCCATAAGAAAGCTTTGAGATTACACAGCAAGTTTCATGAAACCTGAAATGACACGTTGCTGAATCCTTCGTGTGACTTTTCTCCTGCAGAGCAACGACGTGGATGGCAGCATGTGGAACTGGATGTACTACATCCCCCTCATCATCATCGGCTCCTTCTTCATGCTCAACCTGGTGCTGGGCGTACTTTCAGGGTATGGCCCGACCTCTTTCGACCTTTAGCCTTGCGAGCGACTTCCGCGTTGCTCCCGTGCACTTTGTGACGCCGCAACGAGCGGGGCAAGAGAGAACGTGACGTAAAATGTTTCCACAGTGAATTTGCCAAAGAGAGGGAACGGGTGGAGAACCGGAGCGAGTTCCTCAAGCTGAGGCGGCAGCAGCAGATTGAGCGAGAGCTCAACGGATACCTGGAGTGGATCTGCAAAGCGGGTCAGTTCATGCTGATGGACACGTTTCATTCCGATACGCTTGGCTCCGACTACTGCATTTACATCTGCTACTCGTTCACTTTTACAGAGGAGGTGATTCTGGCTGAGGAAGACACCACGGGGAACTTTGATGGTAACTGATTGTCTTTTCATGTTTTGTTTTTCTTTTGCTGGTTTCACCTCCAGAGCTTTGAGAGATGATAGCAATTTAGAATAAGAGAACGTGGTGATCACGGCATCAAAATGTGTCCTACAAACGCAACAGATTTCTTTGAACAACTTCTGACGTGTAACTTTTAATTGAAGGTCTCCAAGAGATGACACCTGAATCAATGTATCGTGTTATTGGAATAGCGACGAGTTATTCAAATGTGGAAACAAGTTAATAAATGTAGCGTGTTGTACGTCAGCCAGCGACAGACCGTGGGAGATGCGAGAGACTGACATTTCAGAAAACAGTGGGATGAATAATCAATCTTCATTTCCTGTGTCTCACTAGGTTCGAGACGAAGGCCAACCATCAAGACCAGAAATAACAAAACAGAGCTGTTGAATCAAGAAGAAGGAGAGGACAATGTAGGAGATGCAGTAGGTGAGGAAAATGAAGAAATGGTGTTACACATGTCATAACTTACGTTTTAACAGAATTTAAAAAGACGAAGAAAAGAAGCATTTGTAAAAGTTTGAAGTAGTTTTTGTTTTTTTGGTTATCTTTTGTGAATGAAGCTCTTGATGTTTTCACAAACTGTGGATGATGAAGTTTGTGGGCTGCCATTTGTAAAGTTCGCCCTATTTATGAATGCCACAGTTTCAAAGTAAAAGCACAATTAAGAAGCTACATGTTTAGCTTCAAGCTAAGGCAAATACTTAACTGCAGAGTAAATTTTTAGCTTGCAAGCTAAATACAGAGCTTCAAGCTACATATTTGATCTCAAACTAAATATGTAGTTGAAAACTAAACATTTGGTTTGCTAGCAAGGTAAATATTTATCCTCAACATTAATATTTAGTATGTGGCTAAATATATTTACCTCTAATCTAAATATTTAGTTCAATGCTTCTCTTTAGATTTAGCTTGAGCTAGCTTAGTTTAGCTAGGTTTGCTAGCTTAGTCAGGAGCTCGATGTCTAGTAAATTGACAAGCTAAATACTTAGCTTTAGGCCAAAATATTTAGCTTGCTAGCTAAATATTTAGTCTGTAACACTTTATTCGACGCTAAATATTTACTTTGAAACTTAATATATAGTTTGTCAGCTAAATATAGAACAGCATAGTTAAATATTTAGCATTAAACTGTGACATTTATAGTTTAAAGCTAAAATATAAATGTTTCAATTTAAACTTATTTCATTCATGGTAAAATGTTATTAATTTCACCATGACTAAATAACACAGTGACCCTATGGCTGAAGCCTGATGACAGGCTACATGACCCAAATTATTGCTGTCACTTTGTTGACTGTGTAACTTTTCCAAACGCCAGCCCCTCTGAGTTGTCCTTCTTGCCACTAGGATTTGCTCGCTCCAGCATAAAGAGTGGTAAGGACGGGGCGAATTACAGTAAAAAAGAGCGACGGATGCGATTCTTCATCCGGAAGATGGTGAAGACGCAGGCCTTCTACTGGACAGTGCTCTGCCTGGTGGGCCTCAACACCATCTGTGTGGCCGTGGTGCATTACAACCAGCCAGATATTCTGTCCGACTTTCTCTGTGAGTAAACGCACAATCGGCTCTGGGTAACTTTTCCCCAGCCGTCACACTTTGGTCACAAAGCACACAGCTGCTTTTCCCAGCAGCGCAGCGCTCGGCGGTGAATCAGTTTTTAACGTGCAGTTTGAGATACTTTTCACTTTCATTGTGCTTTTGTAGATTTTTCTTACTTTTTGCTTACATCGCTTGCCTGACCTGGTAAATAATCCAGATTATTTACTGTGTAGTTGCGCTGCGGTTTTGTTGGAACTGACATGCGAGACGCATTCAGCAGAATCACCTTGTTGTCTCTGGCTGCTATCCAACACCATTAGCATATGAAGCTGGAGTTCCTTGTGGAGTCTATTTATCAACACGCTGTCATATACTCTTCCACTCACGCCACTATTGACTTATACTCATATTAGTCTTTGTCAGATACTCATGCAGTCTCCTTTCTGACTGTATTCGTCCCCTCCTCTGCTTTTATTTGCACTTTCTCTCCGTTTTCCTTACATTTGTCTCTGCCTTCTGCTACTTCCACTCCCTGTTCAACTTTTTTCCCCCTTTTTCTACATTTGTTTCTCTTTCCTCTACAAACATCACACCTTCCTTACTTCTCCTGTTCTTCTCCCCTCCTCCAGTCTATGCAGAGTTCATCTTCCTCGGTTTGTTCATGTCTGAAATGCTGATCAAAATGTACGGTCTGGGCATCCAGCCCTACTTCCACTCCTCATTTAACTGCTTCGACTGTGTGGTGAGTGCCCCGACGTGCACACAAACCTACACACACACTCGCTTTGTGTAAGGGCTCGTATTTTTAGAATGGATCAGGTTTAAGTTTGTTCATATTTAGCTCCAACCGATGCTTCAAAAGATGTCACCAGTGTGTTTTCAGCTAAATGTAGCCTATTTTACCTGTCCTGCTTGTGAGTTTTGTTTTAAAATTCCAGCCTCTTCCAAGGAAAAATAACACATCCACTCTAAGGTGGCATATATTCAACACAGCAGAGACTTAAATCTCACAGCAACGAACCAAGAATGATATTTCTTTACCTCATTCTATTCTGTGCAGATGCTCTGTCTGCGCCGTTTAAGATTCACTCACCACCGAATGAGAAATGCTTGAACTGAAACAGCGAGACCCAACTTTCAGATCATTTCAGGTCACAAATGTTTGACCGCTTGTAGGGCACTGAAGGTTTATTGTTAGATGGTGAGTTGATCCTTAAATATGGGATAAAAATAAAACCTCAAAGCAACAGTAACACTTCCTGTTCGGTTTTGTCACATACACTTAAACATCAACTGACCCTACTTCTAGTTAATTCAGGTTATGGACGTTTTGTCACCTGAACATTTATTAACTTAATAAGTAAGTAATACATTGTGCTTTATTTAATTTTGTATTTATAAATGAACTGACTCTACCTTCTCGGTTTTTTTAACTAATATTTTGCCACTTTGAGCAGTGAATTTTTATCAGTAAATTTTTATGATACAAATAAATAAAACAGCGCATAAATGTCACCGTGAAAGTGACATATCTTATTTTACCTGCGGTACTTTTTTTCCATGCTTACGGATCTTTCAATTGAATTGCCTAAGAAATATTTTACCATTTTACTGTATATCCCACTTATCCCGAAAACTCAAAAGCTTCAAAGACGTTACGAGTCCGGCTACATTTTCTCACACTTAGTAACTCGATTCATACACATGCACGGCAAGACAGGAAGCAGCTTGTAGCTGGTTAAACGTTTCGCCGTCCTCCGTTCCCTTCCTCTAAATGACATGGGAACAAGCATCGCAGCAAAGAAGACGTGGAGGATTGCCAACTAGTAATTAACTAAATACTCCTCGTTTATTACAATTAGAAACGATGCAAGAAAATGACAATAAATTCATATCTGACTGTTTCTAAGCAGCAGATGTTTTAAGCACATCTAAGACTAAGAAATAAAGTTGGTAGATTTTGATCAAATTCAACTAAAGCACGTTTTTTCAGTCACCTGGTTGGTGGGTTTGCTTTCAGATTATAAAGTATTTATTAAGTGTGTACACTGTTCATCTTCACTTGGAAAAGTGCAGCAAACATAGAAGTTTGAGTCTGCACATCTGAAACACTCCGGATTTATTTGCACTTTAGACGAGTGGAGACGATTTGCACTTCAGCTGAATGGCAATTAAAATAACCAAAGTGAAGATGTATTGTTTGTATTTTCTGTGTGTGTGTGTGTGCGTGTGTGTGTGTGTGTGTGCGTGTGTGTGTGTGTGTTTCCAGGTTATTGTTGGTAGCATCTTTGAGGTTGTGTGGGCCACCATAAAACCAGGCACATCATTTGGAATCAGTGTGTTGCGAGCTCTCAGGCTGTTGCGTATCTTCAAAGTAACCAAGTGAGTAAAGTAAAAATCCTTCATTATCCAGATTTCACTTTAATTTTCTTGTCTGTTCAACTCTTGTCAAATTCTTCTCATATACAAGCAAACTGAGAAAGACGCCTGAAATCCCACCGGCGGGATCAGGAAGCTTAATAGATTTGATCTGTTCTTCTCTCCGTAGATTGTTTCCGTAACGTTAGTGGTGTTTTGAAATTAGAGATCCAAAATCTACTAATCCAAAGGGTAGCAAATCTCTAACAGACGTGAGCAGATGCTGTTCTGGTTTTATGAAGGTGGACAGACCTTGAGTTTTCTCTCCCTGGAACATTAACTGTTATCGCCCTAAGGAAAAGGTCACAGGAAGTCCTGAAATCCAAATGATCCCATATCAGGGTCTCACAGGGACAGTAAGAACAGAGGACAAATGAAAACTAAATATATTCTAGTATCAGAAGTAAAACAGGTTTGACTTAGGACACAGTAAAACAAAAAACAAAGAAAAACAGAGAGGGCAAAGTAAAAAGAGAACGCAGGTTGAAAAGGTAGGTTACAGAAACTTCTGGAGAAGCAATGCGATTAAGGCCAAAACATCATGGGAATATGTTTACAGGGCAGAATGTTCCTTTAACAGAGCTTGTTCTTTTTCATGCAAAAATTGTATGTAGATTCCTACACTGCAAAAATGTGCTTAACCACAGAACAAAAAAACATCCTATTTAGACTATTTTCCTCATGCGCTTCGATTTCTTCTTCTATTTTTATTGACAGGCTTTTTTATTTTTCTCTACAACTCCTTAGCATCTCTGCTTCCTCAACACTGAATCACCTGCACCACTCTGACCTTCCTCTTCCTCTTCCTCAGGTACTGGGCGCCGCTGAGGAACCTGGTGGTTTCGCTGTTAAACTCCATGAAGTCCATTGTCAGCTTGCTCTTCCTCCTCTTCCTCTTCATCGTGGTCTTTGCTCTGTTGGGGATGCAGCTCTTCGGAGGACAGTCAGTATCGGTGCAAACTCTACATCTTCTTCTGTTTTGGGAGTTGTTATTAATTCAGAATTACTTCTTACTTTTCTCCCGTCAGATTCAACTTTGAAGAAGGAACTCCGCCTACCAATTTTGACACATTTGCAGCAGCAATCATGACGGTGTTTCAGGTGAGAAAAAGCAAGTTATGACGTCTTTTTATTACATACAGTAAGAAACATTTATGAATCATTCGGAGATCAACTTAAAAAGTTTCAAAGTGAAGAAAATACAACGCAGGCCTTGGTGGAGTTATTTTTGTCAAGAGCGTAACATTAACAAAGTCTTCCAAAGGCACCCATATCCCCTGAAATCAACATTTTGTTAAGCAGCAGCCACACAGTTTAATGCATTTTATTAAGATTTTACATAAAAATAGCAAACGATTTACTTTCCAGCAGCATGACGACTTTAAAGCGTACAGCTGGAGCTGCAGTGGAATGGCTCAACTCAAAATCACACAAACAAAAATCTGCCTCGGTCAGCCTAAGTGCAGATTAGTTTACCTTCTTTTGTTTTTTTATTTTTATGTTATTGATGAAGTGAAGTTTTCTCTCCTCCTTTCTCTGTAGATCCTGACAGGAGAGGACTGGAACGTGGTGATGTACGACGGCATTGAATCGCAGGGAGGAGTGAACAACAAAGGAATGGTCTTCTCCATCTTCTTCATCGTCCTCACACTCTTCGGCAACTGTATCCTGCCCTCGTGCCCTCATATGCTAGCTACGTTTATTTTATTAAAAACATGTCAGTCAACTTGTCATTTCTACAGTTTAAAAAGAAATCAATTTGACATTTTAGTCATATGTACGTATAGTGTGTTCTGCTTTTAAACTTCATTTTGATTTCAGTTTGGTTTAGGAACAATGTATATATATATATATATATATATATATATATATATATATATATATATATATATATAGAGAGAGAGAATGAGAATGAATCCAGAAGGATTAACCGGCTCTTCTCCACTCAACCAGCTAAGGTGTACTCTCAATGGCAGGGTAATAACAACAGAGCAGACCCACCAAGGCTGGAGACTGAACAATACTGGAAAGGCATATGGGAAAGGGAGGCGTCCCACAACAGCAATGCACAGTGGCTGATCTCTCTACGAGAGGACCACAGCAACCTCCCTGAGCAAGCCCCGGTAACCATCACTGTGACAGATGTTCAAGAAAGAGTCTCAGGTATGAAAAACTGGACAGCACCAGGGCCTGACATGATCCATGCCTTCTGGCTAAAGAAACTCACTGCCCTCCATGAGCGACTGGCAGCCCAAAATGAACCAGCTGCTACAAAGTGGGACTCACCCTGAATGGTTAACTGAAGGGCGGACAATCCTAATCCAGAAGGATCCATCACAGGGTCCAGTCCCACCCAACTACCGACCAATAACCTGCCTCCCCACAACCTGGAAGCTCATGTCAGGCATCATAGCGGCCAAGATAAGCAAACACATGGATAAACACATGAGCACGGCACAGAAGGGTATCGGTGTAAATACCAGAGGAGCCAAACACCAACTCCTCGTAGACCGCACAGTTGCCCGAGACTGCAAAACCCGACACACCAACCTGTGCATGGCTTGGATCGATTACAAGAAAGCCTATGACTCAATGCCGCATACTTGGATCATTGAATGCCTAGAGATGTATAACATCAACAGGATTCTGAGAGCCTTCATTGCAAACTCGATGAGGCTGTGGAAAACCACCCTTGAAGCCAACTGCAAACCACTTGCACAAGTGTCCATCAAATGTGGCATATACCAAGGAGATGCCCTGTCCCCGCTACTGTTCTGCATAGGCCTGAACCCCCTCAGCCAAATTATCAACAAGACTGGCTACGGATACCGACTCAAAAATGGGGCCAACATCAGTCACCTCCTCTACATGGATGACATCAAGCTGTATGCCAAGAGTGAGCGAGACATCGACTCACTGATCCACACCACCAGGATCTACAGCACTGACATTGGAATGTCATTCGGACTAGAGAAATGTGGTCGGCTGATCACAAAGAGGGGGAAGGTGATCCGCACAGAAGGAGTCTCACTCCCACAAGGAACAATAGCAGACATAGAGGACAGTTACAAGTACCTAGGTATACCACAAGCAAATGGCAACCTCGATGAGGCCACAAGGAAAGGAGCCACAGCTAAATACCTCCAACGAATAAGGCAAGTCCTGAGAAGCCAGCTCAATGGCAAGAAACAAAATCCGTGCGATAAACAGCTATGCCCTGCCAGTAATCAGATACCCTGCTGGAATAATCAGCTGGCCAAAGGAGGAGATGAAAGCCACAGATATTAAGACTAGAAAGCTACTAACCATGCATGGAGGGTTCCATCCCAAATCCAGCACCCTGAGACTGTACACGAGCCGCAAGGACGGAGGCAGAGGACTAGAGGAGTGTGAGAACCACTGTCCAGGACGAAACAACTAAGATCCATAAAATACATCAGGGACAACGCCTCAACAGACAATGTGCTCAGTGAATGTCTCAGACAACAGGGAACGGAGGTTGAGGTGCCAGAGATACCATCATGGGAGGACAAGCCCCTACATGGGATGTACCACCAGCAAATACCCAAGTGGCTGATATCAGTAAATCCTACCAATGGCTGGAAAAAGCTGGACTCAAGGACAGCACAGAGGCCCTCATCCTGGCCGCCCAGGAACAGGCCCTAAACACCAGAGCAATAGAGGCCCAGATCTACCACACCAGACAAGACCCAAGGTGTAGGTTGTGCAAGGAGGCCCCTGAGACAGTCCAGCATCACAGCAGGGTGCAAGATACTGGCAGGGAAAGCGTACATGGAGCGACATAACCAAGTGGCAGGCATTGTGTACAGAACATCTGTGCAGAATATGGACTGGAAACCCCGAGATCAAAGTGGGAAACACCCTCAAAGGTGGTGGAGAACGCCAGAGCTAAGATCCTGTGGGACTTCCAGATCCAGACAGACAAAATGGTAATGGCGAACCAACCAGACATTGTCGTAGTGGATAAACATCAGAGGAAAGCCGTTGTGGTAGATGTAGCAATACCAAGTGATTGCAACATCAGGAAAAAGGAGCACGAGAAACTGGAGAAATACCAGGGCCTCAGGGAGGAACTGGAGAGGGCCTGGAAGGTGAAGACCACAGTGGTGCCTGTGGTCATCGGGGCCCTCGGGGCAGTAACCCCAAACTGGAGCAGTGGCTACAACAGATCCCAGGAACAACATCAGACATCTCAGTCCAGAAATGTGCAGTCCTTGGCACAGCCAAGATACTGCGCAGGACCCTCAAGCTCCCAGGCCTCTGGTAGAGGACCCGAGCTCAGAGGATAAGAACCACCCGCGGTGGGTGAGAAGGGAATTATATTATTAATTATATATATATATATATATATATATATATATATATATATATATATATATATATCCCTAGCTTTTTGAAATGTAGCATCAATATTTCCCTGACTCCCACCACAGACACACTGCTGAACGTGTTCTTGGCTATCGCTGTTGACAATCTGGCCAATGCCCAGGAACTTACGAAGGTACAGAATCCCTCAAATAAATTTTGGATTTATTAAGTGAATTTTTTGCAGCTTCGCAAAATAATTTCTTCACATCGTAGATCACATATTCATGCCAATGTGACAAACCTACACAGAATTAGCAAAACATATCATCTCCTGACTCTTTGTTTTGGCATCATCTGTTAGTTTTGACCAATCCTTCTCAATTTTGTCATCACATTTAATAATTTCACATTTATTTCTTCAGCTTAATGTGTTTTGTTGTGTCACGTATGTTTGTGTGTTGCTGACTGGAACAAAGTTTTGAAATTTGAAACAATATTTCTCTGATAGGACGAAGAAGAGCAGGAGGAGGCAGCCAATCAAAAGACGGCACTGCAGAAGGCTAAGGAGGTGGCAGAGGTCAGCCCGCTGTCTGCCGCCAACCTGTCGATTGCTGCGTGAGTACGCGCCCTCACATGCAAATAATCACACAGATACAGTATGTGTGAAGGTTTTTGTAAAATGCAGGTGCGTCCAAGTAATTTAGAATGGTATTGATTTTTAATTTATTTCCGTAATTAAACAGAAAAAAACTGAAGCTATTAATGACACTATCAATTGCAAAACTGATCCAAAAAGAGAATCTATGAAATATTTTCAAGAAAATTTGAAACACCAGATCCAACAGAACTCAGTGCATATACTGTGTAGTTTGGGCATGATGACATTTTCTTTTTAAATAAAAATAGGTTTTTAATTGATCTTAGTTATTATTCATGTTTTGCAAGAAACTGAATATCACTGAGGCCACATTTTTACAAGCATGGCCATTTTTATAGGAATTAATTCCTTCACATACACAAAGCAAAGGTCCCTTTTGTTACTCTTTTGCTGAAGTGTGATGCACATGCACAGGAAAGACATAAACCACGTGAACCGCTTGTCCTTTGCAGCTGCCTGCCATCATCAGTGATTGACAGCAGGCATTCACAAACACACAGCGCACTCTCTCACACGCAAAGTGACACGCCGTCCTATAAAATATGATGAATCGTTCGCGGAGTGAAAAGAACAGATTCAGGGCTTTGTGGCAAATAGAAAAGTCTAAACTCCGTTCCCTGCAGAAAAGAAACGCTGACATCAAAATGGATCTCAAACAAACCTGCCGCCTCCTTCAAAGTCACTTTGGAGACTCTTCAGGCCCTGTAGTTAGTTAGCCGAGGCTTTGACTGCAGGATTTCATGCAGCTTGCTACTTAAACATTCACAATCTGCTTCCGTGGAAAGATTAACACATTTTTACCTTGGGAAATTAGTTTTATATTGACATAGAAGGTCACATTTTTTAAGGTACCTTTCGCATGTTGCATATTTCTACTGTGATTCTCCAACCCTCTTAGATTTCCAGTAGATTTTCAGCCTTTTATTTCACAGGTTCTGTGCAGCATGCAAGCACGTCTCGTTCAGTCTCGCCGCGCTTCACACACTTGTCCATTCCGACACTCATCTTCTAATTCAGATTTACCATCCCCTCCTGGATGTCTTCTGTCTTTTGTGACTTTTGTTTTCCTCCTAAATTCCCCTGGAACATTTGTTTTTGTTTACTTCATCCCAATTTCTGACAACAGGAAGGAGCAGCAGAAGAACCACAACAAGATCAATAAGTCCGTGTGGGAACAGAGAACCAGCGAGATTCGGCGGCAGAACTTGATGACAAGTCGTGAGGCTCTCTACAATGAACTGGAGCAGGAAGACTGGAAGGTGGGAGAAGAAGGAGAGGAGGTAAGTACCCCGCTGTCTTCTCCCACCAGAAGCAACTTCTGTTGATTTAAAGTTAAATTTTGAGTTTATTTTAACAACTTATCTTGGAATGTTTGGTTCTGACCTGCTTTTTAGCCACCGTTCATTCTGGGTCATGCTGGCTCCACAGATGTTATAATTCCAGGGTGTAATATCCCTTTAAGCTTGTGAAAAATTGCTGCCATTGCGCTGCTATCTGGGACAACCTGAAGCTGCATTATTAAAGTGGGCCACGCTGAGGAAGCCAGAGACCCGCACTCAAACGCGGCAGGCTACTCAAAATTGGAGCGGGTCAGAAATGAATCCGACAGTCAGCCGGGCGTGGCTCAGCAAACTGTATGAAAACATGACAGTCTGTTTACGTGGATCATAAAAAATGCTGCACTACCTTTATCACTTACTGTAGCTTCAAATCTGTCCCATTCTGGGTTTGCATGAGGCTGTTTGACATTCAGTTAACCAAGGAGGAAGGAAGTCACCCACATGATGTGATGATTCTGGTGACCATGACACACAGAATACACGAAGGGAAAATGGTTGCATTACAAATCCCTATCAAATCTAGCAACATGTGTCTCAGTCTTTGTAACACCCTCTGCCGTCCTTCACTGTGTCTCAACGACCGCCGTCAGCTATGCTTCAGGTTCACAGATATAAATTCAAAGGCTGTTATTCACACAAGAGCTGAGAAAGAGCATTTGGAGGGTGTGCTCTACATATGTGATGGCATCACCAGGGGAGGACCGATGCTGCTGATGATGAAGAGAGCCACACTGGTCGTACTCATAGTGTTGTTGGCCGTCACAAGGTGTGACTTCAAGGTTCCTCTGATGGTTAGTTGGGGTACATTAACAGTAGAGTGTTACTGTGACTCCTGCCACAAGTTAAAATCTTTCTATGATCAATTTGCCCAATCTTTCCTCAGTCCAGCATGTGTTGGATCAGGTCAGGTATCATCTGCGACCCAGTGCTATTGCGCTAGATCTCAAAGGTCAATTGATATCTTGTGCAATACATCTCCGTTGTACTAGTTGTAAGATGACTTGCCTGTTATTCATTGATTTGATATTGTTGTCATGCCATCCAGTCACTTGACTTGTTCAGTTTTATTTAATTGACTCAAACATCTGAAATGTGTTTTTCAAAACTAGATATGCTTTTAGCATTCTGAGTGTTTCATAAACCTCTTTACTCTTTAACCCCACTCAGGTGTCATTCCCACGGAAACCACGTGGCGATGTGAAAACCCACCTGGACAGACCATTGGTGGTAAACCCGCAGGACAATCGCAACAACAACACCAACAAGACCCCACCCGGCGAGCTGCCGCTAGATCAGCAGTATCGGCGGCAGGATGTCGATCACTGCCGCCGCGCTGCTCATCACTGCCACTACCACCGCCATCACCACCAGAGATACACCAACCCGGACGGCGTGGATACAAGCCAGCTGATGGACACCGACATGGGGCATGGTTTCAGCTGCACATCTCTGGGTAACGTCGAAGGAAACGTGGAGCGCCACGCGGATGAAGAGAAGCACAGCCACCAGAGTCATCGGGGCCATCGGCACAGGAACAGAGAGTGCAGAGAGGCTCGCAGCGTTTCTCCCCGTCATGGCAAAGGAGCCGACGGCAACGGTGAGGCGAGGAGGTGCAGGCAACACCGCAGGGCAGCCAGGGAGGGGGATGAGGGCAGAAGACATCAATGCAGGGCAACAGAGGGAGACGGAGAGAGAAGCGAGGAAGAGGGTGGACAGAAGGCAAGACGTCATCGGCACTGCAACCAGGAACGATGCAGGGGACATCGTGTGAGAAAGTAAGGAAAAGGAAGAATCTATTTTTCATGCAGGAGTCTGGATGTACAATTCCAGTGTCAAATTCAGTCCTTATGTCCGGTGTCTTACATGACATTGTTACGGTTGTCTTGGTTCAAAACACCTGAATCTATTAATTGGTTACTTACTTCTGCAGAACCTCATGACATTGCCAGAAACATCTAACATATTCAAGATGCTGGTCCTTAAGGACTGGTGAAGGACCACTATGGTTTTATTGAAACTCTTAGGCCTTATAATTTTTAGATACTTAAAAAATTATGACAAATTGTTACCTTTATCACGGGAATGTCTTCTCTTCAGAGAGAACCTATTATTCAAAATTCACTTTTTGCATGTTTTCGTTCTTCCGTTTGGGTCTCGACCTGAAAGCAGTCCAAGATCTAAAGAAAGGGGAAAAAAAAACACAACAATTTTTGAGAATAAGTTAATGCCATTTCAAAAACCTAGCCAGTCACCTAGCAACCCAACATGCTCCAGCACATTTGGTCAGCGGGTTTTACTGCTGTATGAGCTGTACAAAGGAACATAAGTGTTTTGTTGTTGACTTGCCATCCAGAAGCCACTTTCTGCATTCTTGTTGGTTGTGCAGGAGGAGCCACTTCTGCTTTTCAAACATACATGGTTGTATAATTGTGCATCTGTTTGCAGCCATTTTCACAAGCGAATGCAAACATCATCCAAGAATGATGGATACTCATTACATTTTTTGTGCAAAAAAAAGTATTTGTATATCCCATTAACCAATCTTAACTTGGTTCAATAATGAATAACCTTTAATGTTTCTATTTTCTTCTCATTTTTGCTTAATTCGCGTGTCTTTCTGTGCCGTGTCCATATCAGGGAGCATCACAGCACCTGCCCCAGCCTCTCCACTACGCGGCCCATACAGCAGTACAATGAGGACCTCGACAACTTCCGCAACAACAGCAAGCTGGCCAGCGCCCAAGAGCACCCTTATGATCTCCCACCCGATCACCCAGACCATCCGGACCACTTCAACAACCTGCTGAACTGCCATGACGCCGACACCCACACCCTGCTTCACAGCATGGACAGCCTGATCTTGACCAGCATGGCAAAGCCAGACTACACATCGATAGACATGCCCCCTGTGTACCCGTACCCCTCGACCAACGCCATCTTGCAAGGTAATCGTCATGGGCGTGAAGCTAGGTGCAGTAGAGTTGAAAATTAAAACATATTTTAACCTTGGAGCTACTGAAAGGACTTTAAAAAAAAAAATAGAACAAGCCCCATAAAAAGTGACATATAAAAACCTATAGTGATATATTCTACATTTATCACAGATTCTTTAGTGCATTTTTGCACAAAAAATGCAAAGAAAATGACAAAAATTTAATCTGTGAAATGTTTTTTTCCATTTTATGATTTTAAAGAATAACAGATTCTTTAAAATATATGATTCTTATGTGATTTGTCAGACCTTCCTTTGATTTCACAAAAAGAATTTCAAACTGTTTTGCCTCTTAACTGTCAACACATGACACTTCAGGCATTTGTAAATTCAGTATTATGAATTCTTCAGTCTTCTGAGCTACATTTAGTATCTCACCCCGACATGCTATTTATGACATTTAGTAAAATATTGTTGCCACACTGCTGCTTGTTGCAATTTAACAATAACATTTACTAATTTAAGTTGCCATTTGTTATATTTTGAGGATTTTGGGGACATGGTGACTGAAAAATAAGGTCACAGAACATCATATCAAAGAATTTAACAAACCTCACAACTAGTACTCCTGGTTCATTTCAGACGATTCACCAATCCAGTTTGGCCAACACTGTTATTGGCCCTCATCCTTAAATCAATGCTGGTGTTGCATGCATGGTGAGAGTCCGACTCCCTTCTGTCAGCCTGTCACTCATTTACCCCCCTCTGCTTACTCTCGTTTCTGCGCTCAGTGAACAAGAACGCCAACACTGACCAGAAGAAGAGCGAGGAGAAGAAGGAGGAGGAGGACGAGGGTGAAGACGAAGACAACGGCAAGCGCATGCCTCCCTATAGTTCCTGCTTCATAATGTCTACCACCAATCCGTGAGTAGCTTTCTGCTAAATTTGAGTCAAAATTGCAACGCTGTGTTACGCAGCGTTCAGCATTGAAATGCCCGTTTGGCATTAATTAAATTAAAAAAAAAGGAAAGTGTTTCACAAACTGTTTTGTGATGCAAACGCATTTATGTGTTTTGCATCAGGTTTCGAAAGTGCTGTCACTACATCCTGACTCTGAAGTACTTTGAGTTCAGCATCCTGTCCGTCATTGCTATGAGCAGCATCGCCCTGGCAGCGGAGGACCCCGTCAAGCCTGACTCGCCACGAAACAACGTGAGGCATTTATGTGTTAGCGCTTTCCTCATCACCTTCCAGTGTGTCCACGTCGTTTTGTCGATAAAACACCAAAAATAAAAAGCCTAACAAAGTCCAACATTTATTTGCTTACTTAAAAAATGTCCGTTTTTCTTGCAGAATCTAGTGGAATAGTAAAATGTGTAATGCACCAATGTAAATGTAAAACTGTCCCTGCCTAAACAATTATGAGATTAAAATAGAGAATCAGTAGTTGGAAACATAGTTAGGATATTTTATTTATTTATTCCTTCTCTGTCCTTCAACAGTATCTTCTCTCTGTTACAATTAGGTGCACAAGGTTAGTTATGCAGTTACTTAAGTTTAGTACTTAAACTTAAGTACTAAGTTAACAAACCAGAAGAACAATTTTGTTACAACTTGAATTTTTAACATATGAGAATATTTGGTAGTTTATTAATATATAATATTTCAGCAACTAGGCAGCTCAAAGTGCTTTACATCATAAAACCACAAAAACAAAACATCGTGGAAACAACATGTAGTCCGTCACCAATTGAGATTTTTTTTTTTGAGCTAGGTGCGCTGATTCTGTAAAAAAAAAAAAAAAATAAATAAATAACTGACACGAGAAACAAAAATTCTCTGTCAAGAGTTTTCATGAGCTGTAGGATTAGACTCATCAACGTTTTTGATCTAATCCTTCCTTTTCCCCTTTTCTTTTTTCAAATGTGATAATCGTGTCTCGTGGTCTTGTGTTGCTCTGCAGGTGCTGCGTTATTTTGACTACGTTTTCACAGGGGTCTTCACATTTGAAATGTTGATCAAGGTAACAAAGTATCACTGAGAGATTGTAGGTGTTCAATGTCTGCAATAAGTATATGCATATATTTATTTTAACTTTTAAATGTGCAGTAATGTGTGTGTGTGCGTGTGTGTGTGTAAGTTTGTTTCTGAAATCTACATGAAAGGGTTCCGACGCTGTGCTTGAAAATTTGGAAAAGTATGGAAATTTCATTCACTCTTTCCCATGTTGTGATGAGGATGGAGAAAACATTTGTGTTTTACTGTCAATACTCGTTCTAAAACATTTAGAGATTAATTTCATTTATTTCAAAATCCTCAAAAAGTAGAGACATAATCGAACTGAATATTGCTTTCCAAACGTAAGCATTGTTTCTACATTTTTAATTGATCAATCCTCGTTAAAATATCTTTAATTAGGGCCGATCAAACTGAAAATCAGTCCAGTCCAACCGCCAGAGGAGTTTTTTTCAGCGTCTCTTTTATATCCCGAAAAACTGAATGGAAAAAGTCTGGAGTGACGAAGCGAGGAACGTGTAGGAACCCTCGCATGTGCTTGTCTGTGTCTGTGTTGTTCTGAACTCTCTTCGTGTCTTCCAGATGGTCGTTCTCGGCTTGTTTCTCCACCAAGGGTCTTACTTTCGTGACTTGTGGAACATACTGGACTTTATAGTGGTTAGTGGTGCTCTGGTGGCCTTTGCCTTCACGTAAGTGCCCCACTTCACCCACCGCCCCTTCACTCTCGTCTTGATCACCTTCACACCACACGCACACACGCGCACACACGCATTTTACCATCCACAGAAAGGCCCGGGCGACACAGCCTTGTACGCTCAGTTACCCAGACAATCCTGATCTCTCTTCTCTCTCTCTGCTATTGTCTCTACCTGGTATTTTTAAGAAATCTTCATCCTCTTCCTCTTTGCTATCTGCCTTTTCTTCCTTCCTCTCACTGTTGATTCTGTGTTATTTTAATTCTTTTTCTGTCTTTCTTTGTTCTCTTCCTCGGGTTTTGTCTGCTCTATTCATCTCTGTCCTCGATGAACCCACCTTCTTTGACTGCGGTCACTTCTTCTTCTTCTTCTTCATTGCGTAACGTAATTCATGTCCAGTTTCCAACTCAGTTTCCTCATCGGTCATCATTACATATTTCAATCAAGTGGTCTTTCTACGTATCATGACACCCCGTCTCATCTTTAGATACTTCTCACCTAAGAGTCACATCTCATTTCTACACTCCGAAACAGGAAATTGGCTTCTTGAAGTTTGCTTTTTCTTGAGATTTGTTTTTGGGGCTCTGAGGAGCTTTCCTGACGTTCCAAAGAAAGTTTAAACGTCATCAGACAAATATTCTCACTTTTGACATGCAAGTATGTTTCTGGAGTGTAGTGGCACCATCTCTAACTTCCTTTTTTCTTCCCAACACATGGAAAACCTAACCCTACATCTGTCCCTCCACTGTTTTATGAACTATCACTCACCGGTCATTCCTTTTGAACAGTATTGCTCCCCATATTCCTTGCTCCTGTTCCCTTATTTTCCCCTATTTTTCAAATCATGCCGACCTGATATTTCCTCCAACCAGGCCGTGAGTCTTCCCTTCCTCTTTTCTTGCATCTAAATATCTAGTTCTGGTCCTAAGGTACCTTGTTCTACACCTCTTAGACCCTCCATAGCCTTATTCCTTACTGATCACATACCTCCCTCCCCTCCGCCAGCCTTATTCCTAACATACAGCAAGTAGAATATTGTCAAGTTGATCTGCGTGCTGAATTTTCCATCCTCAATAAAGTGTCGCATGATTTTTTTGGGCGTAAAACTAATTACTTGATGGCTTTGACAAAGTCCCAGTAAGCTGCGTTAGGTTTACATTGTCAAATTTATTCAAGAAAGCAATCTGTTTGTAAAAGTATTTCAGTCATGCAGCTTACGTTTTATTTGGCGTGAAGTGGAAATTAAGCTGTACTTTATGCTCAAAATTTGACTAGACACATTTGGCTTTACGCACACTTATGTAAGAATTGTGTTTCTTTTTTAAGAAGAAACACCTTCTTAAAAAAATTTTTATTGATCAAAGCTAATTTGATTGCAGAGAAAAAAAATCTATTAATTTTGTAGAAAGAATTGTACAATAAAACAACATTCTGACGTGCGTACTTACACATGCAAATGTTTCCAATGATTCAAAGTCTGTTCTCTCATTTGCCTCAGGCACAGATACATTTCTTTATATAAAACTATTTCTTAATTCTCTGTGGTAAAAAAGCCATTTTCTAAAAGTATGGTGTGCTCTGGATTGGTCACATCAGTAGATGATTGAAATTGTTGGTGAATTTTTAAATTCTATGTTTTTCTTGACTGATAGATGTGAATAAAACCGTTGGTCAAAGAGAGTTCATGTCCAATAGTCCCCAAGGTGAAGAATCAAGTTAAGATCGCGATCATTAAAGGTTTAGGTCAGGGTAGACGCTTCTGCTGTATGTTAGGAGCAGATCCCATGCCCCATAATTGCCCTGGACCACATCTCTCATCCTTATCCGATTCTCTCGATTTTACAATCCTCCCTGTTTCAAACTCCATCCAACATTTATCTAAGCAACCAGCTGACAGAGAACCATTAAAGCCAACGTCATGTCTATCCTAACCACACCACTACCTCCTCATCCCTCTGCATTCCCCTTGCTGGAGGTCTCAGTTGTTCCGTCTGTGGGGGTGAGGGCATCCCAGACACCTTTAACCCTTTAAGTGCCCAGGCTATCCATACGTCACACAGAGGAAAGCTGGCAGCAGGACATCAACTCGCCCTCTTAACATTACTTTTCTTTACCAGCACACAGTCAAACCCGCACACACACACACACTCTGATACCCAAGTGTGACTTTAACGAACCTGGAGGCACAGGTATTTAACTCTCTTTCCTTTGCACGGCCTGGGAAAGTGCAGTCGGAGGGAGGGGAAAAGGCAAGCATGCTGGGGTAGGGTGTGGCAGGTGGAATGGTTTGTTTTACTCAAACGCCATAGATTTATAAAATAACTGCAGTGCTGTGAGAAAGTCTTACCACCTCTTTATTTCGTTTCACATTTTGCTTCAAAGAAGCCAGGCTTCCTCAGGACGTCTTCACACCTGATAGTCCGGTAGATACATTCTCAGCTGGTGCGGTTTGCTTTCACACTGTTCTGCGTCAAACAGTCCAAACCAGTTGAAGTACATGTTCACCCCCCCTATCTAACTGGACTTTCTATGCAAACAAACTAGAGTTTGATTTAAGTGGACTAAACAGGGTTGCTGTGAACACACCCTTACAGAACTTCACAGTTCTCCTAAATCACAGGTCACTGCCCTGCAACTTTTAGATGTGCCTCTGCTGCACCACCTGAGTAGAAGGATTATGTTGTTAGCAAGGCTCTGGAGAACGGATCTGCACAAGGAGAAGGTAATTAAACCATTTTATTCTAGTGTTTTGTACCTGTGGCACATCTAAAACCTGCAGGACAGCGGCCCCTGAGGACTAGAGTTTAACATCCCTGTCCTAAATAATATTTATCCAGATTTTTCAAAGGTTTTCAAAGTTTTTCTTTGGACTTTCAAAGCACGTTTTTACTCATTTTCAGTTGACTATCTGGCAATGTTCCATGTTTTATTTGCACTCCTTTTGTTTTGGGCCCAAAACACTTCAAGCATAAAACAGTTCATCAACTCAAGAGTTAAGCCAGTTGTTGTGTCAACATTATGAGAGAAACTTATTGCTCCAAAAGGCCAAATGAGATTGCTGCTAAGTGTTTCATTATTGGCTGAATGTAATTGTTTGAAGTGTCTCTGAAAATAATCTTTCAGCTCTAGGTAGAAGTAGCCAGAGAGTGTTGAATCAGATTCAACATTACTGACAACAAAACCTTTAAAATTTGAAAAAAAAAGACATTGTCTTGAAATCTGAAAGTTTAAATTGTTAATTCATGTTTTAACCCCTGAAAACAACAGTCAGATACATCATGGATGGATCTCTCATCAGATCCTCTGCTTGGGTCTGCGCTGGATTTTGTTTTCTTATTTCTTAAACAAAAGACGTGATTTTAGCAACCGTCGGGAGTCTGATACTGTTTTTTTCCATCTCCTTCTTTATTTTGTATTTCAAAACATATTTCTCTACAACAAAAGCAGCAGCAAACAAGCAAAAAGTCCAACGAAAATCTTCGAAAGACCTTAAGAAAGTCCGAAGAAGTCTTGTTTAAGACCAGTTTTAAAAGGCCACAAGCTCATTTAGGTCCTCGGAAGCAAATTGTGAAGAAATGAAGGATGGTTTAAAACTCTTTAACAGCACTTGATGTTTAATAAATGCCTGTTAATGAAAGTAGTAGTGGAGCGAAGGAGCGGTGTAGGGGAGCCTGTTTGTTCATCCTCCTCAAATGCATGCAGTGGCTGCATGAACACGAGCCTGTGATGCAGGAGACGGTTCAGCGCAGGGAGTCGAGCTCAAGTTAAATGTGATTTGAGAATCTTAACTGATGCAATCTGTCAAACAGAGTTTACGTCAATGCTGAAAGTTATATAAAAAAATGCCTGCAGAAGAGGCTCAGAGACTCTGACAGATGAAGTGACAGAAGTTAAAGTTGACGTAGTTTATTCTTGTTCTGCTGCAGTGGGTTTCGTATATCTTCATGCTGAACCTATTTCGATTTTTTTTTCTTGAGAAGAAAATCTTCAAAAAATAATTTAGCAATAAAGAAGAAGTCAGATTTTTGAAAAATCCAGCTGTTTGATCCCCTGCACAGAGTAACGGCTTTCAGTCTTTTGTCTTGAAACTCATTCTTTGAAAAAAACCTCAAGAGAAATTCTTTCTTTTCAAGTTCACTTCGCGTTTTAGTTGGAGTAATTGCATTTTTGTGACTAATAATACGATTAGCAACAGATAAACTTTGTCTGATAATAAAACTTCCAGTCCCAGATTTTGTATTGGGAAACATAACTATATTTTCTAAATAATATAACATTTTATAAGTTGTTCCATAAAGAAACATTTAGTATGGAGGTTATAATTATGTCTGATAATTTTTCTGCTTCTGGGAGTAAAGGAACAATATGTTGATTTATTAGTTATCTTTTTAACAGACCTGCTGCTCAGATGTTGCTTTCTGTAATTTTTAAACAGCTCTGCTTTGATAATTCAAACTTAAGCTTTTTCTCTCCTGTAAATGGCGATTGACTGACAGACAAGTGACAATTTACTGCATGTTTGCAGTTAACAATAGTCAACCCACTGCTATCAACTTTTTGCTATATTTGGCAACAATTCAAGAAGAAAAAAAAAATCAGCATTGGCCGAAATCAGAATTGACTGGTCAGGCTTTTTAAATATCGGTAATCGACCAGAAAACTGCAACTGGTGCACAAATAGCAGGCTTCTTTCAGCCAGCTGGCCAGAAGTGCCCAGCAGCAAATACTGGAATGGGTTATATAAACTATTTACACCAGACAAAACTTCTCATGTCAAGGAGCACCTGTTACAAATATTACACATAAACTTTTATTTCATCTCAAATTTAGAAATCACAGGTTTCTAAAAATATCTGGAATCATTTAAATGAGGGTAGGCTTTGATATTTAAAAGATAAAATAAAATAGCATCACAGTATGACTTGCTAATCTACACTGCCCCCTGGCTGATAGGTTTGTAATAGCAATCTGAAAATCACTCCACTTCTCCACCCTGCACCGCATGACTTCCTGTTGACAAATCAACGTCTCCTCCTTTCCGTTATCTGTCGCTTTCCTTCCCTTTCCCCTCGTCCTCTCACCTTTTTACGTGGCGTACTCGTCCTTACTCACCGTAGTCGCTCCCTCTAAGGATGCTAAGGCATCGCAGCTACCCTCCCACCTTCGCCTCTTCTTGCCTCCCGTCATCTGCTTCGGCGCTACACCTAAACACAGCGCTGCCCCATCAGCGCACAAACACCTGCAGTTTCGCTCTGAAAAGCATGATGTTTTTATGGAAACCAGATAACTCGACGAAGCATTGTACAGATGGACCTTTAGTTGGCATGGAAACAGTACAATAGCTTCATATCTGTGTGTGTGTTATAAACACAACTGTACTGCTTCCGGCATTCTCCAAACAAACGCTGAATGTTTCGAAGCCGTGTGACTTTACCGTGCATGTGGCGACAGTCCTCTGTGAGAATGCCATTTTGTGCTATTAAAAGCATGTGTGTGTGGGACGACACACACACACACACACACACACACCCTGGTTTCTTGAGTGTCCACTCATGACTGATGAGTGAATGTTGCTCTGAGGTCAAGCAAACCTGGAAAGGGTCTCCTTGTAAAAGAGTTTGAAAAGCAATCCTCGTTTTCTGTGCAGATGTTGTGCATGCTAAGAAACTTTGATGCGGATTCCTCTAGGTGCTGCATTTATAACGAGGACAATTTGTGCTCAGGGTCCGGCCTAATTGATCATTATGGCCTGATTAGATAGGAGTCAGTGAAAATGGATGCACCGATTGAGATTTCACTTCCAATTACAAAGCTAGTCCTTCACCGGCGCTCGCAGTGGCGCTAAAGCAGAGGATGTCCACAGAAAGGAAGGATTTAGATTAAATTTGTCTTTTGTTGTGTTTGTGGATCCTGGAAAGTGCATCAGGTTTAAGCAATCCCGATAGAACATATTGCATTTTTTCCAAGAATAATGTTGCCGTAGTTTAAGTTAAGTTGGGAATGTTACCTCAGCTTAAAACAAACATTGAAGGAAGAATGTAACTGTGCAGTTCATGATACCAGTAAAGCAACAAAGTATGAATGTTTTTTTTTTTGTTAGTTTTTCTGTTTCATGTGGCAGATAATCTGGTAGTGTTGATTTTAGTATTTGTAAAACATCATCTTGGGTATTTCAGCTGTCCATGTTCAGCTAAATATGTTGCCATTGCTTACCGCTAAGCAGCATACTTTGGTCTATTCAGCAAATAATCGGCTTAAAAAACAATATTCTCTCAATAAATTAGAATGTCGTAGAAAACTAAGTGATCTGTCTTTTCTGAAAATGTAGAATGATTGTTCAGATTTCAATAAATTATATCATGACATTAGCTTGGACGTCCTATGCAGCTCCTCTCAATTCTCATCTCTCGTCACCGCTCCAGCAGGGATTTCTCCTGTTCACTTGGATTCCTCCGGTAGAGTTTCAATCAAGCCATTCGGCGAACAGAAGGAGAAGTTGTGAACGACGACGTCAATTTATTTTTCGTGCCGTTTTAGAACTGTGGTCTGTCTGTAGTTTCTGCAGTAGCTGTGGACGAAGTCAACAAAGTCGTTCAGTCCGTATCGACCGCGCCTCCAAATCTTGAATTAACATCAGCAGCCGGCTTGTTCGGCTCGGCACTTCTGTCTTCGCAATGGAGGATGGTTGTTGACGGCACCGACAATTTCCAGTTTGCCTTGCAAATTGGTGCATTACGTCACAGCCACACGTTAGCAATTGGGCAAAACATAAAACCTCAACAGAGTCCACAGCTCCAGGAAGTAATCGTTTCTCAATAGCTGAATGTCCGGACGCTCTGGAGGAGGGCTGGTTTTTAAACAGACTGCTATTACATAAAACAAAATACAAATGATGTTAATGCAGAAATGTCGTGCAATTGAACGGTATGTTCGCGTACTCACTTTTTGGTGATGTTCTAATTTATTGAGATGAGCCCTGTATGAAATATAAAGCAGTGAGTCTTGACTGCTGCTGCTCAACAATCTTCTGATCTCATCAAGCCGACTTCATCAGCTGATAGAAAGTTTTTCACAGGTTAATGTCATGAGCCTCGTATGTACATCATTCAGTGGTGTCCCATAAGGATCTGTATCATTTAGACAAACAGGTTATATAAAACCCAGCATAGCTACAGAAAATTGCATCCTGCAGTCTGAGGGGGATTATGGGAAAAAAAATGTAGCCTCCATTACAAGGTGGCTGAGGTATATTTGTAATCAGGTAGCCTTGGTAGCCATCTTGCTGTCTTTCCTTCTTTGTCTGTCTCTCATATAGATGTATCTTTTCCTGTTTCTACCAAACCCCCCTCTTTCCTTCCTCCTCTCTCTCTTGTCTTGTGTTGGTTTGTCTCTTTCAATGTGTGTTTCTGTGTGTGTGTGTGTGTGTTTTTCCTCTCTCTCTCTGTGTGTCCTCCTTGTTCCTCTGTCTTCCTCTCTGTCGCTCTCACCCTGACTTTCGCTGTCACCACCTTCGGTGAAACCCCGACAGGAGCAGCACCCGGTAAAGTTCCTCCTCTGTCCTCTCCCGCTCTGCTCCCCACACACAGTAACCCGATCATGTTGGCTACTATCTCTTTCTTTCTTTGTTCTTCTGACCATTTTGTGCTCATTCTCGCCGTTTCGCTGCCACCGTCAAACACGCACACTCAAAACACCAAAGCACTTCCACGTGTTTATTTATTTTTTTTTTTTCCCTCGTATGTAATTTTTTTTGTTTTTTATCTTTGGGGACACTTGGAAAAAACCTAAGACAGTCCAGATTTTATTTAGAAAGTGCTCAATTGAGAATGTCATGGAAGACGTCTATCAAAAAGTATGCGTACACATATGACAGAGTTAATGAATATCTGTAATAGGAGAATAAATTAAGAGAAAGATCTAACTTCAAAGAAGCGAATACTTCTACTCAATTGTTTAAAGAGCATTTGTACAAAACACTGGGTTTATGGTTTGGCACACATGTGATGAGATCCGTCCATTTCCCTTATTTGAATGAAATAATGATGCATTTATGAGCAAAATTGGCTGCAAATTGACTAAATGTCCAGGGTATGAAAAGCTTAACGGATTTCGCAAACGATCAGTATTTTAGAGCACTTTATGCAGCTCAGCATCATTTTTAGCTAGTTAGCATTCAGAGGTTTGGTTTGACAAATCCAAACTTAAGGGACTGCAAATTTAATTTGGCTTTCAAGAACTATCTTTATTTTTTGCCAAATATGCTAAGATCTAAAAAAAAAAAGTCTATACATAGAACTCTGGAAAAAGTAACCAGTCCACTTCACTGAACCCCATCAAAAGCCTCCCAGTTATTCCTCCTCATATTGATTTCTGAACTATTCCTGCGTTAAAACGTCAGTGTTGTTGTTTCTAAACGAATATGAACTTGTTTTCTTTGCTTTATTTGCTTGGAATTTCAGAGACATGATGTCAAAGTTCATTTTGCTCAAACATATAATAACAAAGAGTAAAATCAGAGAACTGAGCGTTTTGCAGTGGTCTCTATTTTTCTAGAGCTATATATATATATATATATATATATATTATTATATATATTATATATATATTATATATATATATATATATATATATATATATATATATATAGCTCTAGAAAAAAAAAAATATATATATATATACTGTATGTATATGTAATACCTACAGTCAATGTTGTAGTGTACGCACGTAGAAATGTGACGAAGCGTTTGACACCTTTGACCTTCCGGGGCTTTACACTAACACTCTAAAGCTGCTTTCATAGAGAGACCTCCAAGCTGCTCAGATTTAAATGAGGAACGCCTATTGATTGTCGCCTGAGTTGCTCGTTGGCGGACACACAAACACCCACACGGCGACACTCAAAAGCTGCCAAGCCTCCAACTCGATCAATCAGCGCTAAATTGAGCTGTCGTTAATTTTCTGTCGCAGAAACGGAGTTCATAGTTTAAGAGGGAGCCTTGATAGATCGCCCGTCTTTAAGCCCAGACTTGGCAGGTGTCCACATCCCTCTACTCTTTTTTTGTCCCTTCAGAATGGCCCATCCACTTACTGTAAATATTAAGTGTTCTTAATGGCGTTTTATTTATTTATTTTTTTATCCTCTTTAAAGAAATAGGCTAATATGTGAAGCGTTAACGTTGTCGCCTTAACTTTTAATCATTCGTTTCTGCTCCTTTTTACGACTCGTTTATTTGCTTTTCTTTGTGGGATGAGGTTCTGTGTTCTGTGAGCAACATCACCGGTCCAAATATTCTCGCATAGCCTCCATTTCCAGACGTATATTTTACCCTTTTTTTCACCGAAGTGCATTGATATGTCTGATTTCTGAAATCTTGGAGAAAAAAAAAGTCAGTGGAAGCTATGTGGGAAAAATAACTCCGTTTACATACATCCATGTGGAGATAATCATAGGATTACACTTAAGTAATCCTAGTGGTGCGACATTCGAAGGGCCGACTTCCCATTTTCACATCCAGAAATGTTCACTTCTTTCGAAGAGTCGAACAGCGTGCCACCGAAAAAGAAAGAAAGAGGTTTGGCCGGGCACTCTGCCGGGGAGTTGCCTGTCGCTGTGCAATGAGTGATTTACGGTGATGAAGACCGTGTTAAACATTAATGATGGTGCTTCTTGATGTCCATGAAACCAAGAGGTCAGACAAACCTATTGTGTTCTCTCCTCGTTGGTTTCATGTTTGACTTGTTGTTTATTTTTCTGCAAAAAAACAAAACAAAACAAAAAAAAACCTGAAAAAAACAGCAATGACTGCCCTCTCAAATAAAATGCGTCATGCGCTATCTTTTAAATGAAAGCAAAAAGGTGTGGTGAGAGCCCTGTGTGACTCATCTGTGTAATGAAGCCTCTGTTCAGCTGTCTGACATTTCATTTTTGCTGTTTTTGTTCCATGCTCAAACACTAGGGGGAGCAGCAAAGGCAAAGACATCAGTACAATCAAATCTCTGCGCGTGCTGAGGGTGCTGCGTCCCCTTAAGACCATCAAGCGTCTCCCCAAGTTAAAGGTAGCGACTCGATGCTGGATTTCTATAGATAGAAAATGTTTCAAACTCATTTTGAATAATTCATTCAACTGATAACTGGGATAGATTAGAACACGTGGTTGAATTTGTAAATTCCTCGAGAAATTTGTTGTGAATTGGAACCACATGCATAAACTGAATTGAACTGCACAGATCATGAATATTTGTTGCCAATAACAATTTTATTTGATTTCAGATTCTTCCTATTTCCTATAAATAATGATTAAATGCTTTTTTTCCCCACTTTTTTATGAAAACAATTCAATGATTATTTTTAAGTAAAACAACAAATTTCCTCTACAACAGCTCAATTGTCCAGTCATCTCTGTTTGCATGAGTGAAAATATGCAAATATGCTGAAATATTTAATGCTATGGGATGTTATTTTTTAAAAAACTAAGTATTAGAATATGTATATGTATCTATACCTCAAAAAATAAAATGTGCATCATATTAAATTACATTTAATATTTTTCATTAATAATAATAATAATAATTAAACAAATACAGATAATAGGGAAAAATCTTGAGAAAAATTTTACATAACTAAATGAAAAAGAGAACTGATAGATTAAATGATAATTTATTTGTTACACAGCATAATCAAAAAGTTGGCAACGTTCTTATCTCATATTTTCTGAATGCAACTTTAGCACCTTTGTGAAGCCGTTTAATTATTTCTAAATTTGTTGCCAATTTATCAAGTGAATAAGAGTTTTTATTATTACATTTAATATTATTACTACCTCTGTGACGTCACAACCACTTCTTCTTCTCGTGTGACCTTGCAGGCAGTGTTTGACTGCGTGGTGAACTCCTTGAAGAATGTGTTGAACATTTTGATCGTCTACATGCTCTTCATGTTCATCTTTGCCGTTGTGGCTGTGCAGCTGTTCAAGGGTCGCTTCTTCTACTGCACAGACGAATCCAAAGAGTTTGCACGGGACTGCAGGTGGGTTAGGAAACAACAAATCGATGTTTCCTATTTCTGTCCATATTGCTCATCTTTCTGCAAAGTTTTAATAAACTGAGTCTTTTGCTTGTCATTTTCCAATCAGTGGATTTGTTCTACTGTTACTGACATTTGAGGAATTTATAAAAATTAAGCCGTGTTTCACCAGTGAAGGTTTAGATGTTCACGCGCTACCACCTAGTGGCAGTCGCAGGTTATTTCTGGGTCGTCCCTTTGATTAAAAGCATCTAAATATTTGCTGGACTTTGTTGTTCTTCAACCTTGCAGGGGCGAATATTTAGTCTATGAAAAAGACGAGGTAAAAGCCGAGAAGCGGGAATGGAAGAAGTACGATTTTCACTACGACAACGTGGCTTGGGCCTTGCTCACCCTCTTCACCGTCTCCACCGGAGAGGGGTGGCCACAGTGAGTGGACAGTTCACACTTACCATAGGGACACAAAAAAAACAATGAAAAACCTTTAAAACGGTCTATGATGAAGCTGATTCGATTTAAGATGGCGCTCAAAAAGCAGCACAGACACTATTTCCTTTTTTTTCCTTCAAGAATAAAAAAATATATATTGCTTTAGCTCATATATATTTTGTCTCTGGATAAGAACAAAGCTGTGTTCTTTTTATACATACATTGTTGTGCTTTTTAAGATGAATAATCACTATTTTGCATCACCTATGCATTAGTGGAGGATGAGATAATAAATATTGGATCAATTATAATAATTAAGTTGTTATGCAGGAACAGCCTGACAAATTCTCAGTAATGTACAAATAAATGTTTGAATTGAAACTATTTTCTCTATAAAGTGCCTTGAGAAGACATTTGTTGTTGGCGCTACACAATCAAACTGAACTGAATTGAATAACAAAGTTTGATAAGCATCTCGGTGCAAAACCAAAATCAGTTTGGATAAAACAAAACGTGATCCGATTGCTGGCCGCTACGATTGCAAATAGCATGTTTTTTTTATTTTTAAATGAGTTTCTCACCTTGTTATTTAATGTTCTTTTTTTTCTAACAATTTTTTTTTTGACTTGCAGAGTGTTAAAGCACTCAGTGGACTCAACTTATGAGGATCAGGGCCCAAGCCCGGGATACAGGATGGAAATGTCCATCTTTTACGTGGTGTACTTCGTTGTCTTCCCTTTCTTCTTTGTCAACATCTTTGTGGCTCTCATCATCATCACCTTCCAGGAGCAAGGGGATAAGATGATGGAAGACTACAGCTTAGAAAAGAACGAAGTGAGAAAACCGTCCAGAAGCTTTTCTACACTTACTGGACGTATTTGTTCTGATGCTCTGTGTTGTTGTTTTTTTTTTATCTTTCTTCAGAGAGCCTGTATAGATTTCGCCATTAACGCCAGGCCTCTGACTCGCCACATGCCAAAGAACAAACTGAGCTTCCAGTATCGGATGTGGCATTTCGTAGTGTCCCCTCCCTTCGAGTACAGCATCATGGCTCTGATTGCACTCAACACAGTCGTTCTCATGATGAAGGTATGAAAACGGAAAAGGTTACTCCGTCTTATCCTTGAGGAGGACAAAACTTTATCATGAATCTCTTCGGTTCTTTTTCTGTCTTTCTTCGTTTCTTTGTGTGTCGACAGCATTACGATGCACATGTAGCTTACGATAATGTGCTGAAGTACCTGAACATTGTGTTCACCGCATTCTTCTTTATGGAATCTGTCCTGAAAATCATTGCTTTTGGTCCCTTGGTAAGTCCTATCACACACACGCACACACACCTACACGCACACACACACACACACACACGCATGCACACCTGCAAACTGTTTGTTCATCCAGGGCGAGCCTCTCTCTGCATTCCTGTGTTTCAGAACATTTTTCATTCGTAAAGCAGGATAGTTCAGAAATCAAACCTAAAACAGGTTTTTTCCTGTCCCTGCAAGGCGGAGCACCATTTAACTCGTCCCGTCGTTGTGGACGCCTTCCCACTTTTCTGTCTTTCAGAACTACTTCAGAGACGCCTGGAACGTTTTTGATTTTGTCTCGGTCATTGGGAGCATTACTGACATATTGGTAACAGAGTTTTGGGTAAGTGTTGTGTCTCGGTCGTCCAACAGCAAACTCATGGATGTGAAGATAAAAGCTATAGTGATTCTAAAAAAAATTACATAAACAAAAAGACAACACATAAGAAAAGCAGATTAAAACATCTGCCGGTTTCAGGTGCAGAATGACAACTGTTTACATTTTTTTGCAAATCTTTGTATATGTTGATATCGAAAACTAGCCCATTTCTGGGATTTACAGTGTGAAGCAGAGTAAAACAGTAGTTAATTTTTTAACTGAGTTCCAAACAGATTTTCACCTAGAAATTAGCACAAAAAAAAAGCTAGCTTCAGGATATCACTGTAAGATCCATAGAGCAATTTGTTTACATTTACCACCAGATTAGCCATTTCTGTAAGAGTTAGTCTAGATATATTCTTTATTTTTATGTGTTGCTCAACCTTTAATAATTTTTGTTACAGTGTATTGATTAGCCTGTGATGTGGAATCAGAGAGAAGCTGAAAGTGCTTTATTAAAACTTGTTGCTTTTCAGTGCTTTTTAAAAAATATACATATATCTACTGGTGCCTATAATGATGCTGTCTTCCTCTTCTATCTCTTTACATGCTTTCTTTAACCCTATCTACTCTGTTGGCGCCCTTCGCCTCCTCTACTCCTTCCTGTTCTGATATAATCCATCCAATCAAAATGCACTATGAAATCCTTCATCGTGTTATCCATCCATGCTGCACCATGCCATGTGGTGGTGGTGCTGTGATGATGATGGTGATGGTGTGTGTTTGGCCCTCCCGTCCCCCCTCCCCTCGCCCACCATGGCCCCCGCCCAAAACCAACCACCACCTCCTTCGTCTGAAAAAAAAAAAACCCAACAACAACAAAAAAACTGTTGAATCCAATCACGATTTATCTCAACTTAACCAAAAACAACAACAAAAAAAACTAAAATTAAAACCTCCTCACCATTCATCTGTCTACATCTTCGCACATGTAGAATCTGGTTGGTTTGTAATTTATTTTTCAAAGCTTCCTGCTGCACTGTCATTGGTCATGCGGTTCCCCGATTAATTTCTTACCCTCAGCCACCCTGTCTCTCATGCGTTGACCCTTGACCCCCACAGCATGTGCTTCTTGGATAAGTCCTTTTAGGCTCAACTCTCAAGCCGTCGAGTTGTTAACATAAACTTTAAACTAGAGACTTTATGGGGAAAAACAACTGTGTCCATGGTCAATTGTTTTACATTTTTCAGCCCAATATGGCCAAAATGGATGGCTGGAAATTCAAGCTGTAGTTTGAAGGTTTGAGCATCTGAAAAATTACTGTAGTAGGGGCCGAACAACAGCCAAAGAACCATTCTTAAAATAGTTAATACTGTGAATGTACAGTGATGACATTTTCTTTATTACTTTATGAGTTACTTTTTTGTAAATTAGACTTTTTTTTCAACCATGACTAACTGCATATTAAGTGATAATAATAAGGCCATCTGTTTAACTTGCTATAGAGTCGTTTCTTAAATAATTCAAATATTTTATGTCTGCCATGCAGAAAAAGGCTCCCAGATGATAGCACAGTACCCTGAACCTCTATCCCCCAAATCTGTGAGCCATGGAGCCGAGGCGCACAGCTCTGGTAACAGATCAAAAGTACTAAGGACCGTTTTTGGTTCCAACTCTTAGGAAAAAGATCCTAAGTTGGGAACATGTGTTAAAAAATAGAGTGTGGCTTAATTGGTTTAATTTAGTGATTCAAATCTTTTTTATGTTTTAAATATGAGAAAAGACATTCAGTATACTGGGGATCTCAAAAGCATTTGCACAATCATTTGATAAATTAGAATATTATTAGTAAGTCAGTTTATCACCGGCTGTGTCACTGAGCTTTACTGCCCTCTAAAGCCTGCTGATGCATTTTATATACATCTACAGGACTGCATCGAAAATATATTTGCTGCTATCTAGTGGTCGAAGCTACGCTAAATTACACATCATTTTGGAAATACGTATAGTCAATGGGGTGTTTTTTTTTTAAATAATAACACAAGATATTATAATATTGTAAAGTTCATTTATGCAAGTCTCACTAAGTGAAATATAGGTAGATGGATGTTTGAATGCCCTTATTTCTGTTAATTATGATTTTCCACTTATAGTTAACGCAAACATGGCATCTAAAGTTAGAATATTGCTGTAGAACAATAAAAAATAAATAAATAAAAAATGTTCATACACAAACGTAGCCTTAATAAAAAGTATGTTGATTGACAGCTGCATGAAGGTTGACCTTTTAGGATGTTTCAATCTGACCAGTGAGCCTCATCAGAACAAAGATCCGAATTTATTGAATGTTTATTGGCTAACAAAGCCTACGAGGCAATGTTCATCTTGTAGAATATATAAGCTTTGGCGGGGTGCAGCTACTGGCGCATGTTTTAAAGTTCCCATTGGGCTCAGCCTTGCTGGCCCTCTCTGGTCTGCATGTGGGCCAACTATCAAGAAGTATGCTGCCATGCCATGTCATGCTTACACTGAGGTTGCATGCTAACCCCCTCCATCTTCCCCTCCTTCTTCTCCCTTTTCATGCTGGTTTTACAGCCTTGTCTGTCAACCACCAACAAGTGAAAAAGCCGACCTGGAAGTTTGGAATGACCCGATTAGCACAATGCTAGGACAACTAGCAGGATTAGCACAGAGTACAGTTAGCATTTCTGGTAGCATATCAGTCGCTGTGAGATTTCCAAAAGTGTAAATATTTCCAAATGTGGCATTTCCCATGATTCATTGGTAAAGAGAAATGTTTCTGTTCTACATTGAGCTTCTTGCTCTCTGCTAACATGTAGCATTTTGTTGTAGCTGTTAAATCAGACATAAAAACATTTAATGTTCTTCCTAGAAGCTTCTTTGTAATTCCTCTTACAACATTATAATAAGAAGAATGACGCTGAAATAGCTAACAGAGTCTTCTTCACTCAGTGACCACTTCCACACAGAAGCAGGGTGCATTTTCTGAAGTGCAGAAGATTTTACGTTGTCTGCGTCAAAAATTCAAATGGTCTCTTTCCACCTTGCCAGTGTTTTTCTTTTTCTTAAATTTGTTTCTGTATTATAAATTAGCATAATAATTATTACAAAAGCATAAATATGTTTAGAGCATAAAAAATATTTCCAAACAGAATTATGAAGCGACATATTTGGTGTTACAGGCAACCCAAACTCCAGGTCTTTGATTTAAAAAGTATTGTATATATATGTGTGTGTGTGTGTGTGTGTGTGTGTGCGTGTGTGTGTGTGTGTGTGTGTGGGGGGGGGGGGGGGGGGGGGGGGGTGTGTGTGTGTGTGTGTGTGTGTGCATGGCTGCGTGTGCGTGTGTGTGTGTGTACACTTCAACAGGGGTGTGTGTACATGCATGTGGTTGACAGGCAAAGTTCTCCAGTCTGTATGTAGCCTGCTTGCATCAGCGATCAGTGCATTTGATTATTTAAAAAAATGCTGTATAAGATTGGATGATGACCATAAAATTCTTTGAATTAGAAATCACCTTCTTTGCTTTCCCACTTTTTAATTATTTATTAATTAATTTATTTTTGAGTTCCCCCCCACCCCTCTCTGCCTATCATTTTCAGTACCGGTATGTTAGAGGTTAGATGAGTTTTATTGGTTTTTCGTTTCTCCTCTTTGGTCTTCTCTTTCCTCCACTGTTTAGTTTGTCTTTTTTTTTCTTTTTCTTCTTTTTTTTTTTGGTTGTTGTTGTTAAGTTCCTTCATTATCGTAGCGGTTGTTTGTGAAGATATTGTCGCTTTGTGATGCTGACAACATGCTGTGTTTTTGCCACAGAACAATTTCATCAACTTGAGCTTCCTGAGGCTTTTCAGGGCTGCTCGCCTCATTAAGCTCCTGAGACAGGGAGAAACGATCCGGATTTTACTGTGGACGTTTGTCCAGTCCTTCAAGGTATTTAAGAATTAAAAAAAAAAAAAGAACAAAAGTAGAAAAGATGAGAGATGAAACTAATAAATATCTCTCGTTCCTGCTATGACAGGCTCTACCGTATGTGTGTCTGCTCATAGCCATGCTCTTCTTCATCTATGCCATCATTGGCATGCAGGTAAGTTCAAACTTTTTCATCCCCCAAAATATTAAGAAAAACTCTTTACCTGCTATTGAGGCAGCTTCAAAAGTCCAATTTTTTGTCATTTGAATTTTTAAGAGGTCTCTAATCAGAATATGGGGATGCATTAATGAGGACATATTGGACTTAAATGTGACATACATTTGGAAAAGTATTCATGCATAAAGTATTATGTGTATTGTTATTATGTCCAGTAAATCTGATTATGTGTGAAACCCCAAATTATCTTTTGGGTAATGACAGATCATCAATACGTATGGGTTTGGATTAATCTTCTCATTTCTAGCTAATAAAGCACAAAACTTACCCAAGAAAATTACAGTTTCCTTTGTGTAATTCATGCGTTGTCCTATTCCCTTTGCCATTTCATAGCAAAAGTAACAACTTTAAATTCAAGAAAACCCCGTTGTCAGGGGCCTGAATGCCATTTTGTTTATTATATCTTTTAGGATAACACAGTGGAAAGAATGGGCATTCATTTTCACTTTTTTTCTAAAACTTGTGGATCATGTCTCTGAAGAATGATGGACTTCAAATAGTTTGGAAATTGTCTCATACCAATTTACAGGTTAATAGCTATTAATAGCTATCATGTTGTTTGGATTGATGTATTTTGGGATTTGCATTTTTGCACACCTGCATGAAGACAACCAAACTGCTGAATCTCCTGTTTCTCCGTTGCCCATGCTTGCTGAAGCTCAAGTAATCAAACTTATTTAATTAGCAGCTCCTGGTGGTACTTTCTCTCTGGAATACTGTGGAGACAGCAAGTGTATAACTTGGTTTTCTCCATGACTAAATGCACGAACATGACATGCCTGTTTATCTGGCATTAATAGATGTTATCATTTTCTTTTTTACTGCGTTTTTGTTCAGTTGTTTGGAAACATAGCTCTGGACGAGGAGGAAGAAACTGCCATCAACGAGCATAACAACTTCAGAACATTCATTATGGCCCTGATGCTGCTGTTCAGGTGAGATGTTTTCCTTTTCTATTTGTTTGTCTTGGTGTGTAGATAAATAATAAAAAATCTGTTATAGTGATATTACAAGGACATCTCAATCAGTTAGAACATCATGACCTTGTTGTTTTTGTCTTTCATTGATCTTATTCAATATTCCAATTTCCCAAAAAACTGAATTTTTGGGTTTTGGTTAGACGGTTAGTCATAGTCATCAGTTGTGCCCAAAAATAAATAAATCGCTACGATCTAGATATGAATTTAACTTCTCAAATGGAAGTGTTGAAATAAGTTGACATTCCAGTGATATTCATCTTATCGAGATGCGCGCAATAAAATATTAGCGTATTATGAAATTGGTGTTTTCTGATTCTGTGCAGAAGTGCTACGGGTGAGGCGTGGCATGAAATCATGCTGGCATGCCTGGGAGAGAAGAAATGCGACCCAGAGTCTGGAAGCACCGGGAAGGAGTGTGGCAGCACCTTCGCCTACACCTACTTCGTCTCCTTTATTTTCCTCTGCTCCTTCCTGGTGAGGAATCGTTGGATTGATTGTTAAAACCGAACCCGGACAAAACCTCGCACGGACATTCCCTTCTTCCTCTCTCCCAGATGCTGAATCTCTTTGTGGCCGTCATCATGGACAACTTCGAGTACCTCACCAGAGACTCGTCCATCCTGGGGCCGCACCACTTAGACGAATACGTAAGGATATGGGCCGAGTACGACCCAGCCGCCTGGTGAGTGGCGACCAATCATTCTCACGCAGTTTTTTATCTGCTGCACCGATATTTGTCTGCTCTCCTCACTGCTGACGTTTTCCTCCCACCCCAAAAACGGGACAAAGAGCCCGTGGCAGACATGGGATGATGAAACGCCATGTCGACGCAGTCTGAGCAAAAATGTTTTCCAGGCTAAACAATTACCTTTTTTTTTTTTAGCTCCCCCTTTTTTTTTAGCTTCTCCCAATTTCTTTTTATTTTTATTGTAATGTTGTATACCAATGACATAAATGTTACCCACCCCTTTTTGCCTTTTCCTTATTATGTGTTTCTGATTTTTTTCTCAGTGAATAAGAGCTCTTTTCTTCTCTGTATTTTGTTGTTCCTCTTTCTTTCTCGTCCGCTTTTTTTTTTTTTCTTGTTTAGTTTTGTTTCTGTTTTTTGTTTTTGTTTTTTTGGGGTTTTTTTTGGATTTTGTATGCTCCCTCACCTAACTCCCCTCCTTGTATTTTTCTTGCAGCGGGCGCATACATTATAAGGATATGTACAGTTTATTGCGAGTTATCTCCCCTCCTCTGGGCCTTGGCAAGAAATGCCCACATAGGGTGGCCTGCAAGGTTTGGACTAAACCCATAAAGCACAAACTTAAACGCAACCTGCTCGCCTTTTAAGAAACTGGAATGAATGTTGCTCTTTATCACTTTTAAGACAAGTTCTTTTGCAGTTTTTTTTCTCTCTTTTTTTTTATTTCCATTGGTTTGACTTTTCTGTTCGGGTTTGCATTTTCCAGTTGTTTTGAATTCATTTCACCACTGAATCATTAATCTTTTCTTTTGGTTGTTGTTTTGGGAGGGGCTCTGTTGTTCATGCATTCTGACATGATGATGAGAATGTTTGGGACAATGCAGAAATGCACACACACACTCTGTTGCATACGATCACAAACACACTGATAATGGTGTGTGAAGCATGAAGTGGTACATTGCACTTGCTAATGTCTTTTGATTGAACACTGGGGGAGGGAAAAATGACACTTATTGTCCTTTTATTTTTTTAAACTTGTCAGCAGTAGATTTTAGATTTCAGCCAGTCAGTGTGTTTTCTTTCTGCTTGATGTCTAATTTTTGCCTGGGCAGAAAATGGTTGAGCAATGTGCATTGATCTGTTTGACTCGGGGAGTGGATTAGGGAGACAGGATTCTCATAGAGGCACATGCAGAGAAGGTTTGGTCTTGGTACTCCGACCTTTGAACTAAAGCAACCTTATTGTTTTCTAGATCTCCCAGACTGTTCAAATTTCATTTAATTTAACTTAATTTTGATCATTTCAGCATGAAAACGATCACAATCATATAAATTTGAGAGGTTTTTGCACCTCCACCAAGAGTTTCAGCATTTGCTGTCAAACAAAACAGTTGAGTGGTGTCCAGTTACGATTGTGCCGTTTTGCATATTCTGTGAGCAATTGAAGAAATCATTCACACAAATTTCTGCCGTTTACATGTCACTCTAAGAACTAACAGCAGAGATGGATCTCTGCTGTTAATAAAGAGCAGTTCAACTATTTTAAAGAAATATAAACCGAGTCAGCTGCTGCTGGTTGATTTATCCAATCATCACTAAACAGAATGCCAGGAGAATTACATTTTGCACAAAAGAACTTATATTCCAAGCAAACAGCATGTGCAGTTTGGAGGTGTGTGTGCCAAAAGTATTACCTGAGGCAAGGTGGAGCACTGTTGGCCCTACATGAGCATCACTGGCTATATGGGCCGCCATGATGGCCGCCACTCCTTCAAAGTCTGATCATACCTGTCACGTTTTGAGAATATGGGAAATTGTTATCCTTCCCCTGCTGCCATCAGAAGGGCAGGGGTCAGACTAAACTAGCTTCTACTTTAATATAAATACAAAAACAAACCTTTATGTAACCTTTCATAATTAAATGTTTATGCTCAACTTTGCATAAATATTAGCTCATACCTTGCAGAAATCTAAGGATCTAATGTTTCCAATCTCTGAAGTCTATTTCTTTAAATGCAAAATCAATCTACACAAGTAGGAGTAGCAATACATTTTTGCTCAAGTTAAACAAAAAATTACAGTTTAGTAAAACTATTCATATAAGTGCATTTTTTCCCCCAAAACGTCACTCAAGTAAATGTAACCAGTACATTTACTTGAACATAGATAACAAAATGAGCAGCCTGTATATCTATACATTGGCATAAGCTGGTCAATATATAACTAACATTATGTGCATCCAACAGCATTATTCAAATCACTCCGACTCCGTCAGGTGTAAAACCGGCACTTGTGTTGCGTTTAAAGGCGGCACGAGCCTTTAAACAGGGTTGGATGGCGATGTATTAAGACAGGAAATTTATGGGAAAATACTTACATGGGAGCACACCGGGACAGAGGGGTAAAATACAGTAGCTTCCTGGCCAACAAGGGAGTCTTGACAGGCATGTCAAACAGAGAATAGCAGGGAATCTCGAAGGGAATCTCGAACATATCAATGAATAGTTTTTTTTTTTTATCAAGTCTACATCCGGGGTTTGAAGCCCTTCAGAATTCAATGTAGGAGCTTCTTGAACATCTGGAAGCGCAGCTGTGTTTGGAAACTCCTGGTGGACGCGCAGCCTCAGCGCCAGACTGCAATGACTTGTCACAGTGACTCACTTCGGTTTCTGCAGTGGCGCTTTTCTTTGCCTGCTAAAAGCCCCGCTGTCAGTTCTATCCGAGCGGCGAAAGTGGGTTAAGACCATAAGAACTCGAGCAATCATTCCCTTTTCACCTCGTATAGAACGGTAACGCAACACTAACTAACTTAACATCAACTACACCTCCTCTTGAAATCCCTCCCTGCCTAATCTTGGTCTTTCTTCCCACCTTCCTTTTTCTCCCTCCACAATTCTATGAAAATACCAGACTGTAAAGGGCACATAAAACACCCCCTTGTTCTCTATCGTTTTCTTTCTATCTCTTTTCTCTCGCCACTGTAACCACATTTCCACAGTGACCAAAACAATAACCTCTGTGTATTTGTCCCCCCCCCACCCTTCCTTTCCTTTGTCGGTTTCGTTTTTTTTCCTCCTCATGTTTCTGCCCCCTAACACACCTCTGTGTCTCCCCTTAATACTCCCCCATTCCTTCCCTTGGTTCTGTTGTGTTTTTTTCTTTCATGTTCACGTCGTTTGTCTTCGTTTCTTGTGTTGTGTGTCAATGTATGCGTGTTGAATGCATGTGCCCATGTGACGTATGCGTCTGTCTGTCTGCGTGTGTGTGTGTGTTTTGTGGCCACTCCAGCGGCCGGATCAGTTACACAGACATGTATCAGATGCTAAGACACATGTGTCCGCCGCTAGGCCTCGGGAAGAGGTGTCCCGCCCGGGTCGCCTATAAGGTAGACTCGCCCCCCACCTTACCCCTCCACCCTCCTCAACCACCTCAGCCCTCTTTATTCCTCTTTCCTTCCCCTCATTCCGTTCTTCCCACCCTTTCCTCCCCCCAGAACCTATTTCTCTCCTGACACCGCCCCATCGCTGGGGAGAACCTTTCTTTTACCAGCTGAAACATTGCTGTTCCTGTCCTCCTCCACCTCCTGATCAACCTCTCCCGCCCTCCTCTTCTTCACCCCTCTCACCTCCTCCCAGTGGTGTTCTCTTCATTGTTTGTTAGTGGTGGTTGTGGTGGTGGTGGTGAGCGCTGTCCTTTCTTCTCTCTCTCCGACCGCGGGGATGGAGGGATGGGCTTTGTTGTGCAGTCAAGTGAAGTGATAGTGGAGTGGTAGTGAGTCCTCTCTTTTATTTGCTCCAGTCATGCCACAGAAGTGAGGGAATGCAGGAGGGTTTGCCAGTCCTTCTGCAATCTGCACACACGCACACGTGCGCGCACACAAGCTCACACATATGAACAAAGCAAAACGTTGTGCAATTGGCAAAATGCGTATGCCGCAAAAATTAAAATACATTACATACCATTTTATTAAAATGGCAATTCTTTTGCCTGTTTTATGAAGTACTAAATCAAGGTCAACTTTTCTCAAAAATAACTTCTAAAGAATCATAAATTAAATGAAGTATTTAACCATAATTTGTTTTATGCCTTTTTGTAACATCAAAGTTTTTATCTTTTCTTGTAGAAAAGGAAAATAGGAAACTATGGCTTGTTGATTTCCATTATTATTGCTTGTAGCTGCAGTTTTTGCATATCAAGAGCACCAGTGAACACTTGAAAGACAGTGATATTTCTCCTTTTTTTAAAATCTGGTCATTTCTACTGTATTTAACATACAAGTAGCAGTGAAAATGAGAGTCTATAAGTGATAATCACACAGTTTGATTACCTGCTTACAAAGCAGTTACAGAAGGACCGGTAAGTATTTCTGTCTTCAGTCTTCTGCAACCCTTATTTCTGCGGATGACGCAATTGGCGGCATAAACACATGTCCACGTCCACCTGTATTCATACAAATAGGATTTTACTCAAAAATCATCTTAAGAATCTTTTGGCCCTATTAGCTTCTTTGCATTTTTGATCAAGGTATGATTTTTTTAAAATATTGTTTTCTATACTTGGTAACCTATGGCAAACTTTGGCATTTTTAGCTTCTTGGGGCTATGACCACCAGGATAACGATTTTTTTAGGTTGATCTTTTCAGCATTTAATTTGTCCTTGTCATCTTTGTCTTTGTTCTTCTGTAAAGCCATGCTCTGTCCTTATATTACTGCCATCCAGGTTCAGTAAAACAGCAAGGTTAACACACAGTTTAATGAATTAAGATGCTTAAATCATTAAGCATCAGTAAATTGAATATGTTGTTTGGTTGTAAAGACATTAGGCGGCATAAGATTAGACTTATAAAAATACAAGGAGGTAAGCACCATAAGCAAAGGTCCAAAACAGGAAAACAAAGAGAGTGACAGGCATGATAACCGGGTACGGAGTATAAAGTGAATTCAGGAACCCAGGAGGCATAAATGCTGGGAGTATGAGGATCATGTGAGACTAGATGCCATAGAAATGAGGATAAGGAGGTTTGAGGTAAGTAGTGCAGATGAGGGACAGTGTGGAGGTTGTAGGAAAGAGGCTGATTTGGATTAAGACAAGGCAGAGACTAAGGTGGCTTGAAACATGGAAGAGGTTGAGGCAGCTTTAGACACCGAAGGCTTGTGAAACTGAAATGGAAGTCTCTTGAGATAATGATGAAGCTGAGGTGGCTTGGGATAAAGCAGAGATCTGCATGAGGAGATGCAGATCCAGGATGTGTATCATTAAGGTTAGGCCTAGGAGAGGTAGAATAATTCAACCCAACAACCGAGGATGAGTGGGCATTTGGACTCTCAATGAATAGAGGGCCATCTTTAAAGACAACATCTGACACTTGGTGACTAAAAATGCATAATTGTCTCTCAAGTTCTGAGAGACATCTGCCAGACCACCCAAAGCTGAAGAAGTAGTATCAGCAGCTGAGCCTTCAGAGACATAAGTGTGATGCTTACAGTGTCTAAGGTTAAGTTGGCAGTGGACATGATTTCTGTGGAAACTAGTCTGCTTTCCAAGAATTGTCTTAATGAGGATAAGACATTCAATACTCATTTAAGTTGAAACAGGTATATATTTCCAAACGCTTCCACTTATCAAGACCAAGTACCTTTTGATATTTACAAGGTTATTGCTGTATTCCCCATTATCTGATTAAACAAAATCGACACCCTTTAGTGTCTCTGGCTTTTATTGTATCTGGATGCCAGCACTGCTGTTCTTTCTCTCTCTCTATTATTTATGCTCACTTAGTCCTTTAATTTCTTTCCTCCTTTTTTCCTTTATCAAAATTTGCTTTATTGTTCCCTTTTACTCAAAAGTTGTGAGTCTTCTTTTAATTTCTGTTGCATTTTTTTCAGCCTTAAATCTCTCTCTCTGTCACTCTGCTGTCTACTTCTGCTACGAATTGTCTGTCAACAATCACAGTCCAACTTCATTTCATCATCCCTTTGATCATCCAAGCTCACATTTTTCTGCTGTACTCCTTCTTTGTGATCTGTCCACTGTTTTCTCTCCAGAGTGGTTAGCCTGTCTCTGACATATTTTAGCCTGTACAGTTTATAGTGAATACTTTGGTACAGAAAAGTTCATTTCCAAGTCCTTTGAAATCAGAGGGCATCTGAAATGAGAATGAAAAGCTTCAAACTGCTGCTACTTGCAACGCTAAGTCGATATTCTTGATCGAATCCTTAGTGGACACAGGGCTTCTCCCTTGGCAATCAAAGGAAACGTAGTAACCAATTATTGCTACTTCTTGAACTGACCTCTTGACCTATGTCAGTGTTGTTTTTAGTCTTTGTCTTTATCTCTTGTGGTGTTTTGTAATATCCAACCACTCTTTTTCTCTCTCTTTACACACACACACTTACACTTTTAACTCCAGATTATTAATATCTTTTTATTCTCCTGATATTATTTCAGTGTTTCTACAAGCCTTCTCTCTCCTTCTCCCTCCTCATTCTCGCCTTCCCTTTTTATCTGTAACTACATCTCATTAGCAGTCCAACATTGACAAAGTCTAGCTCTACTAACTGTCCCTATCATGCACCCCCCCTCTATAATCCGCTCCCCTTATCCTAGAATGCTACTACCACAATGTCTGGTTGGTCCAAAACAAAACTAAAGCAAAATAGAAAGAATAGCATTCATCTCTTTTTGATGTCCCCTAAGTTTTTTCTCTTTTTAGGCAATGCCACAACTCAGATCCCTTCTAGTTCTGACACCCACTTAAGACAATGCACCCGTTTGGCATTGAGAGAGATCTTGACATGACATAAAGTGGTACCATTGGTGTTTGATTTGACTTTGACCAAAGGATCAGTGAATGTGAAACAGTAGATGCTGCAAAAAAAAAGAAAAAGAAAAAGACAGATATTTGAATCCGAAAGGTAATTCCTGTGAGTTGAGGATACTCTCTTTGCGCGGATGCACGGCTGCTTGTCATGTAAAAGTTTTGATTAAAGTTGTGGGGTAGTGGGTAGGGTAGATGAGTTGGGGCTTATTGATATTGAGAGTGAAGTGAAAGCATGTTGCATGCTTTGTTGGCATTTGTGGGATCTTTACTGGGGTGTGTTGTATGGTGTTTGCATGAAGTCTTTGCACTTTGTTATTGCATGGCTCTGGGTTGTATCGAGGCTGTTGCCTGCTGAGCGCTGTGAATGTTGGCCGATGCCCTTTACCTGCCACATCACCTGGCTTTGGGCATGCCCGACACTCGCACACACTCATGTACACAGGCCTGCCGCCATGTCGTGCCCTTCATCGTGAGTGCCCAACGCTCATGTTCGTAGGTAAATCCGATGGATGCCAGCTTGTCAGAATAGGTACAGCAAGCGACCCACGCTGGCCCAGCTTGCTCCGTCCTATCTGCAGGTTTCTCCATCTGTTTTACCAAGCATAGGTATGTGAAGTCAGGGAACCTCCTTACAGGTAGGGGGAGCTCAATAGCAGGTGCCTTGGTTAAATGAAACCATAGCTGTCTCCTGAATCCATACAGATCTAAACCAGTGATACTTTTATTGCTCTTCGGTCAATTGGTTTTTTTTGTCTCCAAAGGACTCCAATTAAGTTCTCTTAATTGCAGTCTGTGAAAATATCTGTTTTAGTGGTCAGAGGGCTGGGTGGGGGTGGTGGGGAGTTGGGCACGTTGGTGTATGTCAACTGTCATATACATATATATAATTCTATATGTGTGCAACAACAGAAATGTGTAAATGCGCACAAGCATTCACACATATAGGGAACATGGGCACAGGTTGGGTCGGATGCCATTTTGGCTCTGATTGTTCTTCCTTTGTGGTTTTGCAGCTCTCACAGTTGCTTAGCAGCATTGGATAGTTGTGCTGTCTCATAGAGTATCACTGGAGAAACAGGAGACACCGGGATTTACTTTTTATCAGTTTATTATATCAAGCAAGCATTTACCCTTGCATAAAATTACCACAACTGCATAGCATCCTTAAGGCTCAAATTACTTGCAAAGACTGGCTAAGTTGTTGCAAATCTGCAACACCTGCCTAGAGAGGGTTAAAACATGGAACCTCAACCTTTCCTGATACAGCTGGACACTTAAAACCCAAGTTAAAATTACTGACTGGAAACTCAGTCAGTCTCGCTTCAGGAAATAAAATCTGCAACTGAAATGAATCCAGTCCAGCTACAACCGGCTGTTGTCTATGGAGCTCTCTCAACCCCGACCCCTGCCCTTCCCCCTTTCCCCACCCCTGAGACTCAGGTACACCTCACCTTAGCGAGGACACCTCCCTTTCTCATCCTCTCATCCTGACTGGTTTTCCACAGAGGCTCCTTCGCATGGATCTGCCTGTCGCCGACGACAACACAGTGCATTTTAACTCCACCCTCATGGCTCTGATCAGGACAGCACTGGATATAAAGATTGCCAAGGGTATGACTTAACATTTGTCCTCCCTACTGTCTGTGTCGCTGTGCAAGTGCATCTCAATAAATCGAAAAAGTGAAACTTGTATTTAATAGACTCACTACACAGTACCTCAAACAAATTGGATACTGTGCCTCCTTACTCTTCGCCAGGCTACGGGATCTTGATTTTTTTTTTTTTTTTTTTACAAGTAAGTGTAAAAGTTACCTTTTTGCTGAATGGAGGAGAACCAGTGAACAGCAGTCCAGCCCAAAGTGGAACATTTGATTTTGTCTCTTGTTCAGGGGGCTTAACACAAGGAATTTGACTGTAGCAAACTCATATCCTGGATCCATCTGTAGCCGCCTTTCCAACACAAATGTGCGGCAAAGTGTGTCAATATTCCACTTATGTCAAAATAAGACAATTTCACAATTGCGATGTCTCTGTCATATAAGAAATCCAATTAAAATCAAACGTGAATAAGTTTGTTCAGGCAATAAGTCTTATAAAAACATGTCCTTCAACTACTTTCTCTTATGTTCTTCTTTGTGGTTTGCATGTCAGGTCTTAGAGAACCAGAACATTTATAGGTATTGAAGTCCAGGTAAAATGAGCTGATGCTGGTGGTATCTTCAGATTTGCTTGACATTCTGAAGTGTGCATATCATAAAAATCAGACGTTGCAGAGACTGCCCTTCAAAGTCGTCGGTAGTTTGATGACTTTATAATTTCATTAACTTTATTGTCTTTTAATACCAGTTATTGTCTTAAATCATCATCGACATTCCTCCTTAAAGTGTGAGTGCCCCGAGGATTTGTTTTAGGCCCAGAAAAGCTTTGCCCAAAGCTGTTGTAGATGGTGTTAATGAGCATCTGCCTGACACCTGTCAATTGGTGGTTTTGCTCTATGATTGCGTAGGGTATAACAATGTTGGTGTTCAAAATATCTATTATTTAATGGTCTTATGTATTCAAATAAACTTGAGCTTTTATTAGTGGTATGCCAAACACAACAAAGTGAGCAGAAACACATCAGTCTGTGTAAATGAATCTACATGTGAGTCTCAGGTTTGAACTGAATTAATGAAATAAATTCAATACTTTTATGATATTGCATTTATTGGGATGCACTTTCCTTCAAAATAATCCAAACAATACGTGTGGCATTGCAGTTGCTGTTTCTTTCACAAAAAAAAAAAAACCTGTCACAGATCCCATCTGACATGAACTAATTACTTCCTTCATTTTCCGGTGAATGTGAAATGATGTGCCACATTCCTTAAGTAAAATTGTAGCATTTTGCCTCTCTTTTGTATCCTCTCTCCCCGGGTTTGTGTGTTTCTTAATTTGTGCTAACCGGACGTCTGCTTGTGTATGCAAATATTCAATGTGTACGCGGACGCTCGGTCGCTGGCTCGCCCAGGCGGTGCAGATAAGCACCAGATGGACGCGGAGCTGAGGAAGGAGATGATGGCTATCTGGCCAAATTTATCACAGAAGACTCTGGACCTGCTGGTTACTCCGCACAAGGGTAAGTAGCAGGAAAGCAACTCACGGTGGGCATAGTGGTGTGGTGTACCTGTGTCCGATCACCGACTCACCAAGAGGACAGCTTCTACCAGTCAGTGTCATTCACTGCTTTGCACCTCCTGATCAGACGTATGCAACATGAACACTGGCTACTACACACACGCATACATCTTACAATTGATCTTACACAATCGTCTGATGGCAGATGCTGGCCAAAGTACCAAACCAATCAGAGAGGTACAATTATATATGTGCTTGTGTCAAACTGTGGTGCACAGACATGCAGTCAAACAATACAGACCACCAGCATTTTATAGTTCAGAAGCTACAATAACAAAAATAAGTGCACAAAGACTTTTTGCTGTAATTGTTCACACTTACAGTAGTGTCTACAAATGATGGTATACATGAGCACAAGGGCCCGCCGTCATGCTTTTTAGAATCGGAATATATTTTATTGACACTAAAGGGAAAATGCTTGTTTGTTGTCAAGCCACTCCATCCAAAGTGATAAATATTAGAGCACTTTGAGCTGCTTTGTTGCTGAAAATGTGCTACATTAATAAAATTAATTTAGCTTATTTATCACTTACAAGTAAAGACAACCGTCCATTTTCTAACACCAAATATAAACATAAGCGACATAAAATGACTACAAATAGAAAGTCATGGAAGAACAATAAAGATCACATTTTGTCAATTGGCATCATCAAAATCATCAAGATTATATAACATTTCTACATTTTGTTGAGTAATACAATTGCAAACTCTCTAGAGCAGTTCTGAATTCTGAGTTTATAATTAACGGTGAACCCTCGGTGTACAACACACGCGCTCAATAATACATGCACTCACTCAGAAAAACATTATGACCCTCACTGACCATCTCTCAACCCACTCACTGAGTTCTGGTATCAGGGGTGCCCACTATAGAAGATCCTCTATAGAAGTCTTTTCACTACAGGAAAATAAAGACCACAGAAGCTTTTGATCTCAGCTGATCATCTTAGATGATTCTAATACTGATTTTTAATTTAGTTTGTAAAATGGCCCAAACACACTATTTATTATCTTGCATGTTTATCAGCATATTCTACTTGTTCAGCTAAATGCATGATTGAATACAGTCTGACCTATCTGCTATTTTGAAATAAAAGTTAGTGAGAGGATTATATGAATGTAAAGAATGCTTAAAGGAGCTTTCAATATGGCGGACCTGCAGCCACACCACTTTGAAAACCGAGACAGGAATTTTGAAACAAATTTTTTTTCCTACACAACGAGGAATAAAAAAAATTTCAAAAAACAATCTCAAAGCTCAATATTTTTCTATTTTAAATGTTTCTGTGTTCCATCCAAACTCTGGAACTACACGGCTGGAGTTTTTAGAAAAAAGATTGAGCTTCTGTTTTCTGGAAATTCTGGGTTTAAGCGTTTCTTAGTGAGGTGGCTCAATCGTCCTGAGCCTTGAAAAACTTTTATCTTTTTTTTTATTAGACTATGGCTGTACATTAAAAAAAAGAAGGAAAAAAAACAATGTTAGCTGCAGTGTTAAGTACAAACTCTGCCTGTGAAAAGACTATAAGCTTTACTGTGCTAATAACTGTACAGTGTTGTAATATTGTGTTTGTTGCGCACCGGCAGCGGTTACAGCTGACTTCCTCAGAGCGACGAAAGAGCTAGAAGATATGCAGAAAGCCTTTAAATAAACATATCTTTTAAGTTAAATTTATGGCATTTTAAGGCCTTAATCTTTGATGCATAATTTTAAGACTTTCTAAGAATCCAACTAAAACAATGTTTTTGTTGCATCTTAAAACACCACACATGGCCACTGGTAATCCTTTCTTTTATTTTTTGACACATTTAAGAAACAAATTATGTGTTCAAACTAATCTGTAACACTAAAATCTTTGTGACTCATTGAAATAATATCACTCTCTGGATTCTTTATGACTCCGTCAGCCATTGTGTGTAAGACAAAGATCAGCTATGTACGTACAGTTTGTTTGTTTTTTTGTTATTTACAAGTCAAAAAGTTGTTCATTCGCATTTGAACTCTTTTTAACTGAAGCGCCGATCCTATCGAAGTTCAGCACGGCACAGCGGCCACCGTTGCCGGTGCGTCTTGCATGCTGTTGTACTTTTCTGTGTCCTGTCTCCCACTCCCATCCCCCCTCGCGGCTCAGGGTCCCATCTCGCTCGGGTCTAATCTTCCAGGGTAACTTGTCATTTTCTCAGCAGCCACAGACTTGACGGTGGGCAAAATCTACGCTGCCATGATGATCATGGAGTACTACAGACAGAGCAAGACCAAAAAACTGCAAGCCCTGCGAGAGGAACAGGTAGACCCCCTGCTTCCCTCCCGCTCCCCGCCCCCCACCAGACATCCCTGAAAACGCCCCAAAGTGCACAAAACTAGGTTTATTCTTCTGCTCTTGCCAGGCATCTTTGTAGGATACTGCTATGCTTCTGAAAAAATTTGTAAATATGGAAAAGAAAACATGAAATTCTATAAATTGTATAAAGATGCCTTTTCCCTTTGCTTTAAGTAGATGATCCTATCCTTTTTTCTGTTGTTTTGCATGTATCCTGGCCGTATTCTTTATAGCATCATGTTGCTCAGTTGGTTGCTTTTAATCTTTTGCAAGTTGACTTTATCTAAATAGTTGCAACCCTTTCTTTTCATGATACTTTAGGTTTCATTTCTTTTCCATGCTCTGACAGTAACGCTGTGTTTTTTTCCCCCCCTGTTTTTTTGCTTTGTTTTCGTTGGTAATTCTGAACATAATGATGATGATGATGCTGATGATGATACCACATGGCCTTACCTTTTTGCTCATCGTCAGTACTCCTCCCTTCCCGTTAGTGATCGGCCACGAGATGCACTCGCTTCCCACCGTCTCGATGTTTTGGGTCCACGTTGTGCAAACATCTCTCCACTCTTATCGTAAACGTTTGGCAATTTGAAACCATTCGTAAGGATTCGGTCTGTCAGGTGTTTGCAACCTTCATGCTCCAGATAGCTATTTTTTAAAAAAACTGTTAAAAGCCACAAAACCCACCTGCTAAAACTATCAGCTGTCAGTAGCATCTTCTGTTAGCAATTAGCACAGTTGGTATTACCAATCTTTGTTGATGCTAACATCGTTTGGAAAATCTCAGAGTTAACGATAAAGATCCACAATAGTTTAAGGACAGATAAACACAAACTTGTGAATGAAATACTTCAACGCTTTCTGTTTTTCGCCTAAAGTTTCCCGCTGAAATTAAAGTCCAATATGGATTATTACACTCCTGACTGATACTGAAAATGTGACTTTTCTTCAGTAACAGCTTCCACACCAAGCGGCTGCATTCACATTTATTTCACTGACCAGAAATAAGTGAATTTTTGAGTTTCTACCTCGGATTAAGTTGGAAATATGCTGGATTATGGTGAACATGTGATGCTACATGTGAGGCTTTCTCCCTAATCTCTTAAAAAATAGAAATATAATTTTGAAACTCCAGTCTTAAGAGCTCAATAATTTTTTTTTTAACCTTTAAACGGTTAAAATCAAACTTTTTTTGAAAAAAACAATCGTCTCATAAGAATAATTTAATTTATGATGATAACTAATTTCTAAAAGCTGTGAATGGGTCTGTGTGATCCTCAACTGCTTAAATGTTTAAAATGTTTATTTCCGTGGCAGAATAAACATACCCACAGTAGAAAAAGTAATATTAATTTAATCAATCATTCATCAAGACATTCCTGCTAACATTTTTTGTAACGTCGTCAAGATGAAAATGAGATCAAGAAGCAGCAGGTTGCAGAATCCCTGATCCGACCCACATTTACTCTGATTACTTTTCCTTGTAGGAATTTCTCTCTTGCAAACAAAATGCAGTGGAGACTGGAGAGTATGTTAGTCCAGTTTGTTGGTGTGTTCTTGCATCATTTCTGTGTCATCTCACTTTATTCTTTCCTGTCCTCCACACTCATGTTTCATTAACGCGTAACATTCAAGGACGAATCCGCCTTTGAAAAATGTCAGACTCGATGGGATGGTGTGTCGATTTTAGTTTCTTTATTTACTGAACAAGCGAATCCACCAAACCTTCCTTTTAAACACAAACAATTAAAATCATAAATAACCCAGATTTCATTCAAAAAAGAAAAACATATGAAATGTTTTTCTTAGGAGTTTTTTTTCCTTTTTGTTTTTTTAGAAAGTAAGATATTGCTTGCAGGACAAGTTGAGTCCAAGTTTCATGCTGCTAATGTCCAGCAGGTGTCAGTATTCGGTGACACAGTAAGAACAATATGTTAGATGGCAAGAACCTACAGTCTGCAGCATTAAGAATTAAATATTATATTTTTACACACAATGGAAAGTTAGAGAGACCCATCAAATAAATGCACTTATTAATTGAACTGGAAGGCAATGTTTAACAGTGAAGGGTGGATTCTTTCTTAGCCATTTGTTTGTACCTCCAGCCATTCTGTTACGCTACAGGAAATCATCACCACGGTTGTCTGATCTTTCATTTTTGTCCTCTTTTTGATGTCTCTTGCTTTCTGTCTTGTATTATCTCTCTGCTTCACGTCTCTGTTCTTCTCTATCGATCCATCTGGAGGGTGGTAAAACAATGTCTTATCAAGCTCTTCGTCTATGGCTGGTCCAGGTTGACCTTCACCTTTAACTCGAACTATCGAGGCCTGATTTTATTACTTTGATCTTCTCTTCTTTCTTGGTTTACTTTGTGATTATTGGTGGAATGTTGAGTGAATATTTGCTGTACCTTATGTTGCGCTAGCTGCGTTTCCAAACAAACGTGTGCATAGTTGTGTCAGTATTGTGCTGATGTTTAAAAAACAGTTTCGCAACTCCGGTGTTTCCATTGGTAAGAAGTAGTGATGGGTCCGGCAACACCAACATGTCAGCGCATCCGTCAAGCCCATAGATGAAACCATGTGTCGGCACGCGTATTGCTTTCAGCAAGTCACGTGACCGACACAGATCCCAGATTTTTTATAAATTATTTCATATAAATGTATTGTTTACTTCATTTTTTCGTAACAGACTAAATTTTAAAGTGTTGGAAAAACATATTTTTGAATGAAAATTTGTGAAACAAAAAAAAAAAAAAAATCCAGTCCACAAGGATCCTCATTTCAAACACGTTCACTTAAATTTTCACTTTATGATCCATGTTCACATTATTTATTGACTGCATCTAAGAATATCAAATATTTTTGAATTTAACTGAAGATATGACATTATATAATATACAATAAAATATAATGGCTTCAATATTATAGTATTATTGTATGGACTCAGTCATCAAATAAGTCTGTCAACTACGTTGCCTGTAGGGATTTTTAATGTCCAGCAGGTGTCAGTATTCAGGGACATAGTATCTACGGTTTAGCTATGGGTGAAAACGCTTCATGACGCCTCATTTACCCATCATTAATAAAAAGTACAACTTATATGAATGAGTTTGTTTTCATAATTATATAAGAAAAAGGCTGTCAGCCTCCTCCCATTTCCTGTCGTGGTCTTTTTCATGGTTTGTGCCAGTGGCAGCATCTGTTTGTTGATCAGGTGATTTGTGTTTTGTAAAAAAAAAAAAAAAAAAGAAAGTGTTTCCCTCCAGTTTCGTGGAACACACTACTTTAGATGCAGCTGAAAAACCACCTGATCCTCATGCAAAAAAACTAATTTTTAACAAAATTGGCATCTTTTCAACAAGTAAATTTATTTTTGTAATTCCAATTTAATGGTCAATGGAAATGCTGCTACAGGCCAACACAAATTCCCATGTCAGCAAGATCTTAAGCATCTAGCATTCAATAAGTTGTTGATGTGAGATATTTTATTTTATTAACTTCTGGACTTTAATTGGCTTCAGGTAATGCAAGACGAGTCTGTTAGCTTTTGTTGTTGAATTGATTTAGACAAAATCTGTTTTCCTAAACCTGCTTTATTTCTGCTTCTTGATCAAAGATCCAATTATTTTTAGATTTCTTTTTGGCATTTAGGCCAAAAAGAAGATTTTTTTCTTCTTCTGCGGATTTCCCAATCAGGACTTCCTTGTCTTGGACACCAACCCTATTCAATTTGGTAAGGAGCTACATAGGAGAGAGGCGGGCTCAACCCCTTTTAATAAAACCCCATGATATTTTGCCGATACTTGTCAGCACATCAGGCCTTTCCTAATCCATAGTAATTTCTTCACATTTTTGGCTCAAGTATCAGATCAGCCAAATTGACGAAAGTGCAGCGTAGAAAGCGTCTCATCCTACACTCTTTTGAAGGCTTGACGGACATCTAGCCGTATAGAATCGTATATCAACCTTCCACCAAAATGCATGTTACTCAGAAATGTTGTATGATGAAAAATCGACAGTTCGGTCAATTTAAAATTTCTGTGTACATTCTTTTTTATCCATGTCATACTTCTATATATATATGGTAATGTGTTCTGAAACGTGTGAATTAAGAGCAATCTTAACTCAGACTCCTCAGGTAGAAGCTCCACGGTGACGCAGATCTGAGATCAGCTCCTGACCTGAACGCGACATGGTTCAGGCTAGACAGAGGAGCTCGGATCTGCTGTCCGGTGGCCAGCTTTACCTTTCGAAATCCACCACAGCCATGTGCTTGCTGATGGCGCCCCCCATGTGGGTGCATGCCGCGAGTGCATCCTGTGTTTGTGTCGTGTTTTTCCTCCCCTGTGAGTGTGCCTGATGCAAGCCTGCAGGCCATGTCATGTATCTCACACAGAACCGAACGCCATTAATGTTTCAGCGCATGGAGCCACCCTCCGAGGGAGGGGGCCCAGAGGGCCAGGCGGGGCCGGGCCAGAACGGTCTGCCCAGCGTTCAGCCAGACAACATCAACAGCATGTGAGTGGACCGGATGAGAAGCGGGGGAGTCTTTATGTGCTTCTGTGTGTGTGTGTGTGTGTGTGTGTGTGTGTGTGTGTGTGTGTGTGTGTGTGTGTGTGTGTGTGGTGTGTGTGTGTGTGTGTGTGTGTGTGTTGGGGTGTGTGTGTGTATGTGTGTGTGTGTGTGTGTGTGTGTGTGTGTGTGTGTGGGTGTGTGTGTGTGTGTGTGTGTGTGTGTTGGGGTGTGTGTGTGTATGTGTGTGTGTGTGTGTGTGTGTGTGTGTGTGTGTGTGTGTGTGTGTGTGTGTGTGTGTGTGTGTGTGTGTGTGTGTGTTTCACCGTTTCAAAATAAGAACCTCCTCAGTTTCCTGCCTTGAAGTGGACTGTGGTGCCAGATGATAAATCTAGATAGTGTTTAAAACAGCGCCATCTGCTGGAACAATTGCAAAATCACATTGGTTTTAACTTCACTTAAAGGCAAATCAACACTTGCTTCCTTTTTTAAACAACTTTCGTTTTCTTTCACTTTCCTGCATCTTTTAGAACATTTGTAGTGAGTTTTAAATGATCTACTTTGATTAGCCCAGGTTCATCATACCTGGGTGAAACTTTCACTGAGATCTATAAGATGAAATTTATTTTAAATCTGGAAGATTGATTTTTTTTTTATCTCCTTAGAGTTGACTTCGAAAAGCATCTATTACTGACAATTATAAAATTGGAATTTATTTAGATTTTCTTATATTTAGAAACTTTTTTGTGCAAAAAAAAATAATTAATGGACAAAAAAATGCAGCACTGTGAAAACTTTTGTGGTTTCTTGGTTTCTCAAATGAATCATTTCTGCATAAAATATTGAGATTTATGCAATTTGGAATAAGATTGTAACAGCAAAATGTGGAAGAATGAAGTGCAGTGACTACCTGAAAATGTCAGTTTGAACATCAACAAAAAATCCCTAACTCATATTTTCCCTATTAGTTAAATATTTCACATGACTGTGATGTAAAAGTCCATTTATTCGAGCTGGACTGAAAGCTGTAGCTGAATGTTTCTTGTGTGTGTGTGTGTGTGTGTGTGTGTGTCTGGACTCCAGACCTCCTGAAGGTGGCTTGACTGAAAGCCAATCATGGATGACGGCTAAAGCACAGGAAATGTTCCAAAAGACCGGGAACTGGAGCCCGGACCGGCCCTACCCCGACGACGTCCACGAGAACCGCCACAATCCCCAGGTACGGCGAGTCCCAACCTAGTAACCCATGGCAGCACGCAGTAGGACGTGGCTGTAAAGTAAACGTTTTTCTCCATTCTACGCCTCGGAGCAGCGTTGGGTGGGTGATGACATATTGAAACATTACCAGATGTTTTAATAGAAATTCTGCTTAGGATTTCTGCTGTTGCAACACACAAGACAGAAAGCATAGAAATTAAACGCTGTAAAAGTTCTGAAAACACGTAGTGTGACTCTTTTTCAATACATTAGCCGAGGTAACAGGTTGTTGGCAAACATACTTCTCCATACGCCTGTCATCTTCTGTTTCGCCCCTCATTCCCAGTCATATTGTGTGAGTCCAGTGGGGGTTTCTTTATTTTCACTCACATCGACCTCATGTCCTTCGGGCCCGTCTCTTCACGCTGCCTCTCGTCGAGATGCTGGTTTGGACTTTGTGGACGTACGTTGTGATGTGCACCTTCACTCTCCGCGCCGCGCCTTGCTTTCACTTGTTTGTTGACGCTTCCACTCCTCGAAGATTTAGCTCTACCCTGGAACATGTCATCTCATATGAGCAAAGATTGATTTTTTATTTTTTGTTATTTTTGATTCCACAATATGCCTTAAGAGACTTTTGCCTCCTACGGCATAACAATACGTTTGAGTCTTGATACCATATTTGCTGTAATTTGGAACATTTGGTTGGCAGCTTTTTACATAAAAATATCTGTGCTTCTAAAAAAATTATAATTTAGTCATTGTCAGTTGTTGAACTCCGGCATCATAGTGGCATACATTAACCCACATCACATGCTTTGCCATTGATTTGTTTTTGTTGACAGTTTGTTGTGAACATATTCACCCCCTTGAACTTTCCTGCATTTTTGTCACCAAACCCTTTATGTATTTTATTGGGATTTTATGTGTTAAAGTAGAGCATATTTAAACAAGCTAAATAGGGCTTGTTTAAAGCTGCAAATGTCACCTGACCCTTAAAAAGAAGATTCATTATTTTTGGTATACTTTAGGAAAGTGACATTTTTATTTTATTTTCACATTTATGTCTTGATCTCGATTGAAGAAGGCATCTCTGTATGACCAGAACATGATTCTCTTGGAGCGGGGCGGCTGGTTGACATTTTCAAAGGCGTCTTCGAATGCGGAGCTGTGTGGAGATTACAGTATTCCTCAAACATGCGTGAAAGAATCAAAGCAACATTCCAGGTCGGTTTCTAATGAAAGGATAACATTCTAACGTGATGTAAAGCTCAGAATCGATCTTACGTTAATACTGCCCCTTTAATCGAGCGTTTAGAAAAAGTATTCCTGCCCTTCTAAAGGCATACCTTTCTGATTTATAATTGTTCTGCTTCGACAGCGGTTTGACTCTAGCAATCTGGAAGGTAATCAATAGGAGACGAGTATCTTGAGCACACCGTTTCTCCAAGGTGGTGGCAGAATCGAAATGCTTTTAACAGGGAAAGAGGGTTTTGGAAGCAAACCTGTGTTAGAGGTTGAAGAAGATTTGAGTCTGGGCTTTGTTGTTTTCTTTGTTGTTTTCTTTCCACTTCATGACTATGGACCCCTGCGTGTTTAGCAGATAAAATCCCCCAGTAAAAATACATTAAAGTTTGTCAAAAAATGTGGAACTGTTTAAGGGGAATCAGCTATTCGGCAACGCGCTGAACCGTGGCTTCTTTCAGTCTTTTTTTTTTTTTTCACTTTTACACAGCAACAGGTTGCAACAGCTAATTTATGCAACTCCCCGTTGCATAAATGGAGTCGGAATAGGAACGTTTTCTGAAAATGAATCAATTCCCTATTGATTTTGACTTCATCCCACCTCCCTTGGTTGGTCAGCGAGCCAGCACCATGTCAGTGTCCAGTCGCTCAGCAGACGGCGGTCACGGCCCCGCTCTCATTGTGTTTTGCAGACTGTAGAGATGAGGGAGATGGGGCGGGACGGGTACTCCGACACTGAGCCCTGTCACCCAGTGGACGGGCATGGGCGGACGCTCTCCATGCCCCGCCTCTCGGCAGACAACCAAGTGAGCACGTTCATCCCACCTCCTCCATCCCACCTCCTCCATCCCCGCTTCCCGTCGTCAGCTCCGGTTATCAGTGTGAAGTGAATCGTCAAAGTCTTTCTTCTCGTCTCAAGCGAAACGAGTCTGAGAGTAACCTTAGCACGAAAAAACATTCGTAGTGCTCAGTGACGAATTTAGCTGTTTTTATTATTATGTTTAATGGCTTTAATGTGTTTAGCATTCTGGTGTTTTGCAGAATGCTTCATGTAACAGCCCAATAATAATGTAACAGTCATTATTATTGGATACATTATGGAGTTTGCCTCTGTTTTTTTTTTTTTGCAAATTGTGTTTTCAATGATGTAGACTCAACAATTTGAGAAAGACTTTTTCACTCATTTCCTGCATGTCCTTCATCACCTCCTGACTTCACTTTTTCTTTCTAAACGGGTTTAAAGACGAGAAAGCCTAAATATGTGCAGAGATACATGTCTAGAAAAACAACAGTTCCAGTCACACGTTTGACTTCTTATTTGAAAAAACTAAATAAGTTCATCCAAACTGATGACTTGCACGTCTTACGTAAATCGCATCAGGTTTAGTGCTGGGTGATGAAGCTTCAAAATAAAATCTCACATTTATTCTTGCCAGATTTGATTTCCCATTTGAAACCATTTTTTTCTCACTGTTTTCCTGAACAAAATAATTACAAATGACTGAACGTATTTTATATATCTGTGAAATGGCCTGACTTTAGAGTCACAACAAACAGAAGCTGCAACAAACACTCTTCCAGCAAAAGATGGTGAATTTTCCTATCAACTGTGCAAAACCCAAGGAGTTTGTTGGTGAACAAAAAAAAAGAAATGGAGATCTTCAGACATAGAAAATTGAATTAATCGATAAAATTAATTAATCACCCAGCCCTAATTATGTTCCTTCCCTCCTTAGTTCATTCCCATTAAATGATCCTTGGTGTGTCCGGCTTGTGTGAGCTGTTTCCAGAGGTAAAGTTTTCCAGGCTCA